CCGGAATGATTCAGTCATGGAGCGCTCATGCCACATGCTTGTACACGTACATGTAATGTCTATACTAATGACAGGTGTCTAAAATCCTCAGGCTGCATGGTACGGGGGCGATGGTGCCCTACAATCTACATGTGCAATGTACTTCTAAAGCTCATTCAACAAAACCACTAATAATGTCCCAGTCACATCATGTTTTGCTCTACTGACATGAAATAGACATCCATCGACTACAGCGATGTCGTGACTGAGTGGAGCCTCTAGCTCGCTCTGCTGTATCATCGCGTCGCAAACATCGGTTTCAACCGGTGGTGGCGGAGTTCGGACGTCAGAGTTCTCACCCAGATCAGATACAAACTGCCGTTGGCTGCTGGCCGGAACATACAGGTGACGGGTTCGCCATTTTTGTGTGCACCATATGGCCATGCTACTGTTGAGTGTTGCAGGCGTTGCATGTACACGTACAGGTTCCCTGTAACAAGACGGCAACGTCTGTAGGGCCTTCCCTATCAAAATAATAAATTCTACTACTACTAGTACTACTACATGTACATGACATTGTACTTCAACTGAGAACCGTAACCGCACTGTAGTGGGTCCTGGATTCCGGAATACGTTGCATCGGGAAGTGAGCGAATGCAGACCGTGCCGCTTGTGTTCCTGCATGATGCCATCAGACAAACCCTGCATGATTGACGCGCCATTGTAAGCCAGAAGAATTATTAATTTGTATTGTAGGTGCAAGTCAGAAATCGATGCTTGCCTGGGCCCCGGGTATGCACTGTCTGCACTGAAGTGTTAGTTCTGAACGTGACATGATGCGATCGATGGACAGACAACGCACCGAATGCCCACTGTCAACACGTTAACAGTTCCTAGAAGGCAGTGGTACCCACATGGCTCTACACAATGAATGAATTGCTATCTATCCAAAGCTATTTCCAGTAGTAAAGATAATATTGATGAGTGACCTAGGACTAAGTAAGACTAGTAAGAGCTCGTGGTCATGATGGCGCTAGCAGTAGCACTGCCTGTAGCAGAGGCAGCCTGCCCTCCTAGTCCTACGCTAGGCTACTCCCGTAGTGTGTTTCTTGGCTACATCATACATGACTTGAGGTAAGATCTAGATGATAGATCTCCATGTAGACGTAGATGATTAGATCCACGTCCTTGCAGGTCCTAAATTCGTCCGCAGAGATCCTGCATGCATGACATTTTTTCTCCGTGTCGCTATCGACCATGTACCTGCTGTCGGGGCAAGTACAAGCGCACGATGCGTCTTTTGACATTGTAGTGCAACTGCAAGCTTGCAAGCTGCAGTCAGTCCATGATCCATCATATTGCGGCATCATGAGTGCAGCACAGATAGAGTCTACAAAGTCATGATTGTGGGCGTGCAAAAAAGCTGACTCTGTGCGTAGATCTTTTCCTACTGACAGTAGATCTACTGTCTACCATTGCCATTGCCATTGGTCTACACTACACTCAGACTACAGTCCGTAGATCTACTCTACTGCACTGGTGTGCATGTGTAGAGAGTGTAGTACAGCGGAATCAAAAAACTGTGATCCATTTCATTCAACGATGTCCATGATTAGCAGGCAGTCTCTTGCTTGTTCTGTGAGTGTAAGAGAGGAGTGAGGTGTATCTTCTACTTTCTAGCGCCTTACTAGTAGATCTACTCTTAGCCACAGAACCCAACTACACTAGTACTAGTAATTTCAGCCTCGAAGTGCGGTGCCAGGACCGAGCGGACACCGGGACAACGTAGTTGTAGCGGCGTTGATTTAGGGCTGCATTTTGTTCTTGTAAAGGTCCGTCCTATCTTTTAGAAGCCCATCGACATGGCCGAGGAAGAGGCAACGGATGCATGCGAGAGTGAGAGTCAGACGATGACCATCATCGTGAAGTTTATCGACGATCGAGACCCGTTCCCGAAGGCCTACTTGGAGCCCACGGTGGATCGCTATAAGTTCGAGTTCGATCGCAGCCGTACGCTTGGCGAGCAGATACCGGCGCTGCGGCGTATGCTGCGCGCGCCGCACAGGGTAAGAAGATGATTGTGTGTTTGAAGTGCGACATACCGGATCTCCATCTCTACTCTAGCTTTCCTGTTTGTTCTACAAGACTTAGTACAAGTCATGTCCAGTAGTTGTATGATGCATCTGTGCAGACTGCAGTGCAGTGGCACAACTAGGATGAAGTGCAGGTGCTGTTGATACCAGCCGTTACTTGTGCTCTGCTTTAGCATACCGCATTGCAGGTGTTGGACTGATTGTTCGTGTGGGAATGGCTGTACAATGATCGCTGACTGGTGGTTGTTCAAGTCGGTGTAGCCATGGCACTCCTGTGGCAGCTGCAAGAAGATGTGCATGTGGCTTTTTATCAATTTAATTACATTTCACACATTTCATTGCTTTGTCAGTTTGCTGGCATAGTTAAATTTGTTTCAGTTTCCAGTTTAGTATGCAGTGTGCACAATAATGACTATAATTATTATAGTACTGCGCGGTTGTACTTACGCGAAATGGCCGTCATCTCTCTTCTCTGACCTTGTGACTACTAAATCCAACCTCACTCAAAAAATACATGATTTACTACAGTTTGTTGCTCTGCCGGCTGAAGAACTCGTCCCAGCCAAGCAAAGCATTGCTGCGGCTGCTGCTGCTGCTGTTATCATACCATGTACCTTATGTTTGTGAACAGGAGGAGGACGTGGGATTACAGCTGAACGTCGGTGGTGAAACACAGCATCTGGATTTGGACAGCACGTTGAATGAAATCTGCGAAGATGTAACCATCGACCCAAACAAGTAAGGAAACCGCCTTAGCCTCCAAACCATATCCGCCATGACCTGGGTCACCGCAGCGATCACACGTACAGCTTATCGCGTCGATCCGAGATTTTTCACACTTTGTCCTCTTTTGGTGTGTATGTGTTGGCTGCGCTTGCGATGTGACAGCCACTGACATTACTGGTCATTAGCGGGTAGTTCCGCTTGCGGCTTCGTGTCAGCGGATGTCTTCCTTCCACGGGCTTTCCTCTGCTCTTTTTCTGAGCTGATGGATCCCAGTGCACGCTGCCGAGGTCTGAAACCTTTGCCGTCCCGCCGTGTTGTTTGTTGCTACTCTTGATTCACACGATACACTGACTGTGCTCTTCTGTGTGTCGCCGTTACTTTTTGTACCTTCCAGTAAGTCTGTGAAGACAATAATTGTGCTGCGAAATCAGCTCAGCGTCCGCGTGCACACATGCATAGGTAAGTCGGTGAGTTGTGCAGCACTCAGTGCAGTCTTCGACACTGCATTGATCATTGACGCTAGCTACTTTGCCTCTCAGTTAGACCTTTTTGTTCCCACTGCTATTCAGTGTTAATGTTGCCGACTACATGTATAATTATATTCGTGCATGCACCGTCTTCTCTCTAACCAGATTCGGTCTACACATTTTCATGTACTGGCTCTAACGTTTCATTCAAGATGGACAAGCCCTCACTTGAGTGTGTTTTGAACTGTTTTCAGCTCTAAAGCAGATGGTGCGAAGTCCAAGACACTCTTCACGACTTCACTCGTCTTCAGTCTTCGCTTTTATTTCCAAACTGGGAGCAGTTGCCATGACTAGACTGAAGCCGGGTGCTTGCATGCTATGCTGCAGTTCAAGCGTAGCTAAGCTAGCTAGCATGGTGTTTGACGTGTCACGTGCACACATACTCTTGTCTTCACTTCCTCGTACCGTACACTCGGCACCACGTGTCGCTGATTCATCATGCCAATGTCTATCTGCCCAGTGCCCAAGGTATCTTCAGAGTATCAGACTCCACCTTTCTGACTCTTTCAATCGAGGAGGGGATGTGTGACTGCTGTGATGGTCTCACTCTCTCCGCCTGTTGGCGTTTCATAGCGTCGTGCCTTTGTAGCGGCTAAGCCTGCTGACCACCGCCACTAATGACTAATACAAAACTGAAATGTCCTGTCCACCTCATCGTACCTGGCTAGTACTTAGCCCTGTCAAAGAGCCGAGAGCCTCAGAAGGAGCTGTGAATCAGCATCCCCAAGAGTCAAGAGTGCTGGAGTAGCTCTATCACTGTATCATGGTATCAGTCCATGTCCCTTGTGTAACATTTCTCTTGTGCTATGCCTACAATAACAACGTAAAGTACTAATGTCTCAGTAGTATAGCAGTGAGGCTATTGCACTGCGCGCGGATACCAGTAGGCAGTACACTAGTGACGGCCGGCACGTAGATATCATAATTATAGACTACATGACTGTACTAGTATACCATGGTACTTCTACTACTACAGTACTAGTACTGTAGGAGACCTACATGCACTGACTACAAGTACAAGTACAATAATTATTGCAGTTGCATGACCATGAATCATGATGACGGACCTGGCTTCGAGAAGGCCTGAAGTAGCTCACTTCTGTCGTGAACACGGCTACTTCTTGTAGATCGTTGACAGGCGATGGGCGTCCGTGTGGTCCTGTAGCTAGATCCTAGTTCAGTAGTTGTGATGCCATTCAGCAGGGCTGTGGGCTCATGGGTGTGTGATGACTGCATGGGAAGGTAGGTCAACTGGACGTTTCTACTCGTTCTGACCGGCTCGCACTAGAGAGGGCAAGTGCGCTTTTCCTCGTCCAGCTGCTGACCCTGCAACCGCTCCTACTGTCCCGCTGACGACGTCCACAAATCACCGGCTAGTTTCCACTATCACTGCCATCAGCAGCAGCACTACCGCCACCACCACTACCACCACGGCGTTCACACTGCACTGTAACTGTCTGCAGATGCGGTAGCCCTGGTCTGTGGCCAGTGTGGGACGGGGACGACACGAGGCCGACCCAGTGCTAGAGACGGTGTGGAGGGCACATTTGCCCATGCTCGCCGTGCATGTAGATCTACCACTACTGCCTGGCACTAGTAGTACTCAGTAGTACCACTAAGTACCAGTAGCGGGACCTTCATCAAGTTTTGTTCACGCTGCACGTAGATCTATGCACCGTCACCCCGCGGCCATCGTCTTGTGCCTGCGTAGCGACGTCACATCAGTGTTGAGTGGAGTATCCCACATACACACGTAAATCTACACGGCTTCAGAAGTTCAGTGGATCTACCCCTCACTGCCTGCAGGCTCGGTTATCATTATTCTGTGTGGCACAGACGTGAAAGACTCACCGATAGTAGGAGTGGTGCCTAATACTAGTTTGGTGTAGATGGAGAGGCTAGGTCGCTCAGCAGTTATCAATACACACTCCCTGTGACCTGGTCTTGATGACAGCAGCAGTAGAAGTAGTGGTAGTAGCTTGAAGGAAATACCGACGAGGGGACTGGTCTACTAAAAGTACTATCCTGCTTGAGATCGTTCTGTGCCAGTACGGCGGCTTCTGTATGGCTTTGGAGTATGCCCGCCACCGTGCACCGTCGGACGCACGGGCACGCACTTCATCATCATTGGCCTCGGCATCATCCTCTTCCTTGGCCAACATCAGTCCTTCACATGGAAATGACTGCGGCCGTCTTTCTGCACTGGTAGTCTGTCGAGGTTCTGGCGAGGGGACATCGCCTCACTCTTCTTCGTCCATTCGTGCACGAGCTGCAAGCGGCATGTCGAGTCGTCTTGGAAAGTCCAGCACCATCACCAGGTCGGATTCGCCGCACCTGCGCGGCCGCTCGGCCGTTACTACTGGTGGTGGCAAGGCGGGTGCGCTGAGTGGACGATCTGGAGCGAGCGCGTCCACCTCCACAGCTGCTGGCGGTGCTGACGAAGGAGGTGGTTCGTCCTCAGTGCAGAAGTTTATAGTGCTTCTGGCCGGGATCGCAGCTGAAAGGAGGCCTCACGTAAAGTCCTATGCGCGGATTTCCGACTTGGGTAAGGAGTCCCAGTTCATTCCTGTTCTTGCATGTCAAACCCCTTGTCAGTGTGTCCCCTTTCTGGAACGCCATGTATTCGTCTCCGCATTGCATTGTCTGTCATCTCGGGTTGCTCCGCAAGAAAAGAATGTGTGTTCTTCACCCTTGTCAACGTGTGTGTGGCCTTGTGTTAGTTATGGGGTCAGCAAATCCCTGTGTTCCAGTGACAAGAGTGACTAGAAAAAAGTTTGTTTCTCCGCTCTGTTTTCGCTTGTGGAATGCTGTGGCATACACGCATCACGGTCGATCGGACAAGATTGTCCTTCTGGGGTTCGCTCGCGTGTGTGTGGTTGATTTATTTTCTGTTGTGTATTTCGACCGTGCCTCCCCGACTGGCACGGTGAGCCCTAGAGTGCAGTGCGTAGTGCGTTGATTTCGCATGGCAGGGAGGTGTTGCCTGTGGTGCACCGTGGTGTTACTTTGCGCGCTGAGTCGCTGACACCTAATCAGGCGTGGTTCCTGGCCGTATTGGAAGGGGAAGCGCGTAGCACTTTCAGTGTGCGTGTACCTAAGGTCCTTGCTGTGCTTTTACTTGAACTGTTCGTGTCAGAGCGGTTGCTCGGGATGTTTGGGATCGCTGACTGGCAGGTCAGTGTGTTCTTTTTTTTCTTCTCTGCTCTTGTTCGTGGCACGGGTCTTCCTGCTTCGGCATGATCCAACGAAATGACATGGAACGTGCAATGCAACAAAATCATTGGATCGAGTTAGTTCTTCTCGGCATGGATAGCAGTCGACTGTGTTCCAGAAAGAGTTGGGGTCTGTGCCAAAGAGCATCAGCTGTTTTAGGCCAATCAGCTGCTAAGAGGTTTCTGTAGCAGATGTAGTGGGCTGTTGATGTGCTGCGAAAACTCTACAGTGTTTTAGGAATGATTGTGTTCTCACTTGCCTGAGTTTCAAGTGGCTGTTGTCACCTTGGAGTCAACTGGAGCTCAATGGAATGAAGTAACCTCTTGGGAACTTCAGACCAATCCATTTATAGTGAACATCAGGTCCACTAGCACTCTACTGAGGCACCACTCGCTTTGTGCCACTTCTCATAGAGTATGGCAATATCATCCTGCAGACAGGGGTAGCGTATTTCCTCCTGTGTAGACTCATGATGAGTGTGACACAAAGAAGAATATTGAGCCTCAGTACCAGCAGTACATGTACAATGTAGTACATTACGGCCGTCAAGTCATGGCTGTGTGTGTGTGTGTGTGTGTGTGTGTGTGTGTGTGTGTGTGTGTGTGTGTGTGTGTGTGTGTGTGTGTGTGTGTGTGTGTGTGTGTGTGTGTGTGTGTGTGTGTGTGTGTGTGTGTGTGTGTGTGTGTGTGTGTGTGTGTGTGTGTGTGTGTGTGTGTGTGTGTGTGTGTGTGTGTGTGTGTGTGTGTGTGTGTGTGTGTGTGTGTGTGTGTGTGTGTGTGTGTGTGTGTGTGTGTGTGTGTGTGTGTGTGTGTGTGTGTGTGTGTGTGTGTGTGTGTGTGTGTGTGTGTGTGTGTGTGTGTGTGTGTGTGTGTGTGTGTGTGTGTGTGTGTGTGTGTGTGTGTGTGTGTGTGTGTGTGTGTGTGTCTGTCTGTCTGTGTGTGTGTGTGTGTGTGGTACTACTAGTACATGGTAACATTACTTTAGATCTACATAACCATTGCATACTGGGTCCAGTACATGTACTACTAACGTGTCGTTAGCTTGGGGATCTAGCACTTTCATGAAAACAAAACGAAGTACGTGAGACTTCCTGCACTCTACAAGGTCTGACATGGAATATTGTTTCTAGTTTCTACCGTGTATAGCCTGTACATGCACTCCCTCTGCTCCTGGGTAATTCTACGCTCTGTAATGTGTGCTAGACGTATCCTGCCGGGTATGAAAATTAATCATATTGCCTGACCACTGTGTGTGTGTGTGTGTGTGTGTGTGTGTGTGTGTGTGTACGCATGTGTGTTTTTGAGTGTGTGTGTGTAACTGTGATGCAGTGATTACTGATGCTATCTTTTATGATGGTTTTTGTCATTTTAAACAATGTGCTTATTTGACCTGAGGGTTTATGTCACTGGGTTTTGGCTAGGCGAGTCCTCACTAAGTGAGTTCATGACCTTGTTAGTAACTTTACTGGCGCAGCCAAGTCACCATAAGCTGTTTTACCAGACGGCACGTGACATAATTGTGCAGTATTTGTGCTGGCATATGCACTGATGCCTGGGGGGGGGGGGGGGGGGGGGGGGGTTGTAGTCTGGTGTAGAGTGTATGGGTGTAGTAGTACATGTACTGTGGCCCAGTGTGGTGGTGCTGCTGCTGCTGCTGGCGTTGCTGGTGGTGTTGCTGGTGGTGGTGGTGTGTGTTTGTGTGTTTTAGTCAGTATGATGGAGAGTCAGAATGCTACTTGTAGAACTCTATTCTTTCATGACAGTACTTCACTGGTGTAGTTTCGCCTGAAGCAAACAACCCAGTCGGAAAGCGTGTGCCATTCCTGATGTACACATTGTTGTGGAACTATGTAATGATTTCCTGTGTGTTGACGTTCCCCAAACTGTCTCTTGTCCTGTGTACGTGTGTGTGGCCCGAGCATGTGTAATATGTAGCCTGGAGTCTTTGTTGTGTGTGTAACTAACATTTTTTTCTACTGTTTAGTGCTGTTGACAGTATACTAGTATGTGTACAGTGTGGGCCCAGTGCATGGTCATGATGTGTATTCAATGTTCTGTAATCGGTGTGTTGATCGTTGGTCGGTGGTCGGCATTGTTGCTTATTATCCACTTGTGCAACTGATAGACTTCTTCAAGGATTTGAAGCCGGTCATGTCCAGTTCTGGGAGACGAGGTATTTTAAACCAGTTGTGTGTTGTGTTGTGCCGTTGGTGTTGTGCCGTTGGTGTTGTGCCGTTGGTGTTGTGCCGTTGGTGTTGTGCCGTTGGTGTTGTGCCGTTGGTGTTGTGCCGTTGGTGTTGTGTGGTGTTGTTGTTGGTGTTGTGCCGTTGGTGTTGTTGGTGTTGTGTTGTGCCATTGGTGTTGTGTGGTGTTGTTGTGTTGTACTGTTTGTGTTGTTGTGTTGTGTTGTGCCTTTGGTGTTGTTGGTGTTGTTGTGTCGTGTTGTCCTCGGTAAACTTGACGCTGTTGTGAGCAGTGAACACAATGCTGACTGCGTGTTTTTACATACTTGTTGAGTTTCACAATTTCCCGCAGCGCCCGATAGCACACTTTGAACGGCAAATATGGGGTAAAGTGTAGAGCGGTTGACGTAGGGAAAAAATGAAAAATGTACTCTTTAGTGTACGCTGTCGCAGCTGGAAGTGTGATTGCTTCCAGAAAGCTATCTCATGTATGATGTATTTGGCAGTCTGATAATGTGACAGTCTGATATCATCAGTATCTTGTTGCGACACGTTGTGTGTAGTTTCTACAGGGTGTACTGAATTGAATTGATTGTTTGCGTGTAGCTGAGGTGGACAAACATTCTGAGTTGCTGATACGTTTAGTAGTGTGCAATCAGTGGATGCTGTGCGACTATGTGTATGGAGGCCAGTGGTGGAAAGGGGCCTGCCTAGGTTATCAGTCAAGGATGCGATAAGTGTGAAGTGTGTATTGATCAATGGCTGGTTGTCATACCCCGGGGACTTTTCTCTCCCAGGGTTTTACTGTTAGAAACATGAGAACTGTAACCGGAAAGTGTCCCCTATCCTCAGCTCTCCAAGGGGCGCTAGCCATGTGAGGGATTGACCCCTGTACCTGTGTGGAACTATTGTGCAACTAACTACTTGTGCAAATGACTCAGCGCAGCTCTGCATGATGTTGTCGTCAGTGTCAGGTTGGAAGTCAATGTAGGGGGTGTCCCTCACTACATTGCAATCTACCAACCTACCTAGCTACGTGTATGGTGTAGCCTTAGCTTATCTATGTTGTGATCACATGATCTTACTTGATGAATTTAATGATGCATGCAGTTACCTTGTACATGTACTTTAGCTAGCTGTGGCCTGGTACATGGTGTGACTGTAGTGTTGTCCATGGTACTACCTGCATGCACTGGGCCCATGCCATGGGTTTGGTTTAGTTATCATGTCGTCACAGACGATCACATCACTAGGTGCTTCACACAGCTAGCTTGGCAGTATTATTAATGTGCTACATGGTCGTTGCGGGTCCCTAATGACTGGCCATTTAATAATGTGATGGACACCATTTACATGTACAAGGTCAAATGGGTGCCGCTGGAGAATACAGCTATATTTGGTCACTTGCCCCTGGGCATATTATGATAAACCGTGGCAGCACTTGAGGTCTTTGTTCTTTGCAGGTGTATGCAGGGCAGTCCTAATCATTAGGCATAGTGACAGTGTTAGTCAATGTAGGTTCATATCCTACAGGTTTTGCTGTGAATGAGGGGCATTCTCTGAATCTTAGGGGTCGTCGCAAAAGTTTTCTGTCGTCCCTGAAACGAACATCGTTCATTTCGTACTTGGACCCCCTCCCCTCCCTCTGAAACGAACACAGCTTGCTATGCTGGACGACGAAAATCGCATGCATGTACATGTCATATGTACAGTGTCGGTCGACTTGCGATTTTGGCTCGCACCCCCTCCCCCCCAAATGAATCATGTTCGTTTCAGGGACGACAAAAAACTTTTGCGACGACCCCTTAGGCAGTAGACGTACAGTACACCATGTACACACAGTTATTGTTGCGGGATCCTTTGCTTTCTGTTCATTCAAGTAACATAGTTTGTCATCATGACCGCTGTGTCAGGCGAGGCCTGCGGGTGGACATCTTCACCGATAGTACCACAGCAGCCAGCATGCCCCATAGACCCAGTCATGGCAAATTTGTATGGATTAGTATGGGTAGGTTGAACGGCTGTGAACGGAAGACCAACAGTACAGCCATATGCATGTATACCCGTGTGTATATGTACATGTACATGATTGTACATGTATTTACCTGTGTGTATATTTAGCAATAGATGTACTCTCCCAGTACTGCTCCCAGTGGCTCACACGAGCTCTGGCTGATATGAGAGGCAAGGTGTAGGATTGTAGGACTGTAGACCAGTCAGTACAGCATCGCAATGCCAACGTCATTGTGCATGTATCATGATGTACATGACCATAGATCCACACCTCCAACAATTGCACTGCCTGCCATGTGGGAGATCCAACATGGCAGGTGTCCATGCTGCATACTGGTATGTGCACATCAGCAACGTACCCAAACCCAGGATATTGTTAGTATTCATATGGTCAGTGAGTTCAAGTCAATGAAAGTGTGATGGTCACTGCACCTGTTTTCAAAATTACAGCATGCCGGCTAGCTTTAGGCAAGAACGACAGCCTGTGCTCATGGTGTTGGGCTGGGTCTACAGTACATTGACTGAAACCATAGCAGTTTCAGCAGTCTATTGGTGGTAGTAACGCCTGGTGTCTTAATTTAACCCAGTCGGTGTACGTCACAGTGTACCATGTGTGTACTAGTATCTATAATTATTATAAGCATGGCCATGTGTTATGCTATTCTAACTATTGTTTGAACTACACCGTGATTTAGCAGCTAGCCTATACAGTCCTGACCAGGCTTTTTCCCACCAGGATGAAACCCAGGCTATACAATAGCCTCTTGTCATCAGAAGAGGCCTCTTTACTCAGGCAAAGTGGGGTAGATGTTGCATGATGACTTGGGGCTCCTGTTGCGCACCCCTTCTTTTGTGGGAAACTCCCTATGTCACGCCTTCTGGAGAGGCTTCCATTTGGGGCACTTGAGAACGGCTAGGGAGCCTCAGGGTCATGCCTTTGTACATGCAATGTGTTGCATCCTACACTGTAGTGTAGGCTTCTGACAAGATGTGCTACTCTCTGCAATAAGATTAATGATAGAGTTGTCTCTTGGTGTATGGGTCAACTTGTGGTGTCAATGATGTCAAGGTGAACTAAATCCCTGGGTTTGCAGCATACATGGGACTGGTTTTTTTTTATACTTCAAAGTATATTTTAATTGTTTCATTCACATTCACGTGGCTCTAACTGCTAGATGCAGGCCACACGTGACAGTGAGCCATGATAAAAGCTAAGGAAGGAAAAGAAAAGAACGACAAAAGGAAAAGAAATTGAATAAACATTTGCCATCAGGAAGATGACATAACCAGTGATGAAATGACACAGTTAAAATACATGTAATAATTATGTAACCAATAATGTAATGACATTACTAATGACGCCGGTAGGGATTCATAATTTCTTCCTAGTCGGGTATGGATGACATCCCAGTCCTCAGAGACAGATGGCCGGAATGCAGGCGTGTGATACAATATAACTTACTGTTGTTCGGGGTGGGACTGTTCAGCAGCCTGGTATTGGCATTGCTGCATGTAGTACAATACACCATGTTAAGTGGTGATGACATCAACGACATCGTTTGTATCATACGGTGTTTTGTATGGTATCAGATCACCAGACTCAACACCCAGTCCGGTGTATGGAAGAACGCACAGTACGTGGATAGTGTGTCATATGGCACAGTACATGGACAGCGTGCCATACATGTACTTCCCTTTTCCATGATTCCCTCAACTAGTGAATACATGTATTTCCGTGCAATAATTTAGACGATTTCTCTGTCTGTCTGCCTGGCGGTCTACATGTGTTTGGTGGGAATACTGGTGTTGCATTACTTGTGACTTGAAAGTGTCATCATTATTCAACTCACTGAACTGTTGTTACTTGCCTTCTTTTTGATTTGACTGTCATAGAAACATTGCTGAACGCCCAGGTGAGGGATCTTCGCAAGGCTCTGTTTGCACTGAAAAGAGTCTTCCAAGAGGACCATGAGTTCGTCCAGGAGTTTGTCGGCAACGAGGGTCTCAGTGCTCTGGTGGAGGTCGGCCGCCACAGCGAACAGAGCATTCAGCAATATGTACTACGAGGTGAGTGCACTGTCATTTCAAGCGGTAGTGAGTGGTTCAGTGGCAGAAGCAGTCTTTCTCATAAGCTGCTTGAATCACGCTGCGCTTCAGTGATGTCCGGGCGTTCCCCTGGAGTGCAGCACTCCCAGCGTTGAGATAATGATGGACGTCTGTTGTTTTTCACCGCACTGTCAGCCAGGTTGCGTGTATCCTATAGCAAGCTTGCCTGCTTGTGGCCCGCATCCACTGTAGCAGGGACCATGTTTGTAGCGCAGTATTGTGTCTAGTTGCACGTCGGTAGGAGTGCATAGAAACCAGAGTGTGTAACTTCTCTATGGGTGCCATGGCAGCTCTAAGCAATCCAAGGGATGTTGATGTTATACACAGTACACATACTAGTGTGGCTATGCTACTGGTGTGACTGTGTTACTGGTGTGACTGTGTTACTGGTGTGACTGTGTTACTGGTGTGACTGTGTTCTGCAGCACTCGGTGAACTCATGCTGTACTTGGATGGCATGAACGCCTTGCTCAATGACCTCGACATCATCAGGTGGCTGCACAGCCTCGTCAACAGCGATGTGAGTGTTAATATTATGACTTGCCCAACAGGGGGGGGGGGGGGGGGCACACTTCAACAAGACTGCCACTTCTTTGTTCTCACGGGAGATAGGAACGTGCCTAGACATACATGTATTGCTGATGATTGTTGCGCACACTGACTATTACTTGTTGTTCCACTACGCATCATGACTAGTACTACTATAGTGGTTCAAATACTATCTCCTTACATAGCATTTGCATCTGGTATTTATTTTCCGTTCCGTTCCTCCTGTGTGGTTCTCCAGTTTCGGCTGGTTGTGAAGGGCTCCGTGGAGCTGCTGCTGATTTTTGCCAACTTCAAGGAAAAGCAAGATCCATCCGGCAATGGCAACAGTGCGCCAACTGGCGGCGAGGAACGCACTAGCCCCACCAGTGCCACTAGTCGGACATGTCGCCTGATCATAGAGGCCGTAGAGGGAGACGACGCAGCCAGGGGTGAGTACGAGTAAGGCCTTTATAGCATGTTTATCATGCGGCCGGCGTCTGTGTTGTCTCTCAACCTTAGTCTTTGTTGACATGTCCAAAAAGCCGCGGTGATTCTTCACGGATCATGCATACTGTTTACTGCCTGCTACAAAGCCTGTCTTGTCTAGAAGCCTGTTTCTAATGGAAGCCTGATTTACAAGATGGCATCACCAACACACAAGCCTTCTGTCTGTGTTGACAAACCCCGAGATGCTCTAATTAAAATTATTTGAAGACAAGCCAGATTTGAAAGAACTGGGCTTGCTCTCACATCGGCTTGTGAGTTGTGTAGGAGCACGCCTGACTTCGATATCTGATGTGACGATACGGTAGCTCGTAGCTTAGTTGTTGTGTCCGCAACGCTGCAATAGCTCTTCGCTGATAGCTACACATACGACCAAGAGTACATAACCCCCCAGAGTGTGCAACGCCGATCCAGCTCTGCATAGGGTTTTGGTCGAGCGGAATCGGATCTTCTGATGTCATGCGTACACTCAACACCACCGCAAGGCCGGTCTCGAGGCAGGGCACCGTTGTTTTTGATCCGAGTGTACCCGCGACTCCCCGGGTTCCCCTCAGATGTGTACGGTATTATGACGCAAAGATCCGATTACGCTCGACCAAGACCCTATGCAGAGCTGGATCAGGCGTTGCACACTCTGGGGGGTTATGTACTCTTGATACGACTCTTATTGCTGCTGTGAAGTGAATTGAGCCACAGCGGGGCAGCAATACCTCCTGCACCCATTGCCCAAGCTGCATTGCAATTTGAGTGGACAGTAGCCCAGGAGACAATTTCCACGAAGATTTGGGAAGTGCTAGCAGGCCATTGTGCTCACCTGTTAACCCTTTCACTGCCGCTGTCGACTCCAGTCGACAGCCCATTCATGCACTCTGAGTGCCGCTGTCGACTGCAGTCGACCAGCAAGAATGCAGTTCCCAGTGCCGCTGTCGACTGCAGTCGACAGGCCGACTTCGCCCAGTTTGGGCCACTATTTTGGGGTATTGGAGATGTTTAGCTGCCATAGAGGGTTACTGGGCCCTGGAAGGGGTCCATATCCATTGAAATACGCTGCCAGGAGTAGGGGTTGCCATTTGAAAAAAATCGAAGCAGCGTCGTTGAAAATGTGTATCCAATTTTTAGCCGAGCGGCGCTGAAAAAATCGGTTCCCACGCACTTCCACCGAGCTGAGTCGGTGCGAGCATTTTTCTCTTTCCCGTCAACTTTCTTTGCATAGAGCATGGAATTTGGTTCAGACTTGATGCCTAGCTATTACCCAAGACTCCAGGCGGCTATCCATTGCGACAGGCGGTTGAAGTCACGGGTAGGGAACCAAACGACGGATTCCTCACGAACGCATTTTGGATGCAGCTATGTACAAAATTGACGGAAACAGCGCTGGCGGCGCTCGCCGCGTCCAGAACTCAATTTTCCTGAGACCTAAAACGTTGCAATGGCGACCAGCACGGTCAAGGGACACTGTATGTCAGCTACAAGTATAATAATATTATTCTTTCCGCAACGACACCTACCTCAATACCTGGCGATCTACTGCAAGCTGATGCGGAAGTGCATTACACCCGCGAGCGAAGCGCTTGTCAACGGAACAGGGAAGCGCTTCATTCTCCGACGTTGAAGAGATGTGCTTGGACTGCTGATAATTAGGAGAACAAAGGACCACCATGTCGGCAGAACAATCCGCGGCTGTTCAGCGACACGATCCGCCTCACGAAACGAGTCGCGACCGTTCCCCAAGTTTTCTGCAAGCAACAAGAATTGCGTCCGCAGCGACAGGACGAAAGTCTCTCGCAAACTGAAGTCCTGTTGCCACGAAGACAGGGAAGTTTCAGCAAGCACTTTCTTCTGCTTCAAGTGTTGTAGCTCGCCGGTCCACTGGCAGATCTTTCAACCCCACCGAACGAAAAACAGGATTTCCTTCTCTCTCTCTCCAAAACAACAACTAACTTTACTTCGCAACTGGCCGGGCCGTACACATGGTGTACATGCAGTGTATATAGTGCATGCGGCACGCGGCGCACTTTCGCATGACATGACATGACTTGTTGCACAGCGGCTGGCGCTAGAACGCTCAGCGCGCTTGTACATCGGATCTTGCGATTTTTTTCGAGGGCAATGGCTTCCTTTATCAGTTGGCTACCTACGATGTATACTTTAGAAAGCGATATTCCGTACAGAAAGTACCAAAAAATCCAGGAAAAGTTGGCCTTTCGATTTTTTGAACTGGAGGTAAAAAGCGCCTGGCACTGGGGAGTGCACAGCTCAGCTGACAGCCTGGCACTGAGTGCCTTGTCACTTGAGCAGTCAGCTGGCAGTGAAAGGGTTAAAGTCATGCTTACATCATGTATATTTCAAGTATCATGAAATCTTTTTCTTAGAACAATTGTTCTAACTGAGAATGGGCCACACCTAAATATGGATGGCAACTAGTGAAAGAGAAAAAGATTTCGCTGAAAAAGAGGCCATGTACATTTAGTACGAGTGTTGAAATTGATCGATTATCAAACGCGTGGACGTTTCCTTCCACTCTGAGATAACAGTTCCGTGTGCCAATTACTGTTGTGTAGGTTTGCGTCCATGGGAGACTATTGTGCGCTTGCTAGACGAGCAATCACGCTGCACGGATGGTGAATTGCTTGTCTTGGCTATGACCTTGATCAACAAGGTAAGTATGTGAAGCTGCTGTGTGTGTGTGTGGGGGGGGGGGGGGGGGAGGGGGGAGTGTGTAAGCGTGTGCATGCCACTGATTCATCGGTACATGGCAGGACTTTCAGCAAGGGCGACATTCATTATGGCACACTTGCTAGTCAATAAAATCTAATCCCGCAGGTAGTACTATTGCTGAGCTCATTATCTGCTGCTTTATCAATAACCTCCTCTCTCTCTCTCTCTCTCTCTCTCTCTCTCTCTCTCTCTCTCTCTCTCTCTCTCTCTCTCTCTCTCTCTCTCTCTCTCTCTCCCTCCCTCCCTCGCTCTACTAGGTACTGGATGCTGTTCCAGATCAGGATAGCTTCTACAGTGTTGTGGATCACCTAGAGGACCTGAACATGGAGACGGTCATACTGGTAAGTTAGCGTCACCCATTACGGCCGTTAGTAATGTAATTGCCAATACCATACAGACGGTGTGTGCCCACTGAAACACCCATTACTGCCAATACCCTACAGGCAGTGTATGCCTCACAGAACCTACTCAGTTCTGCAGACAGCTAACTGTTAAGTCCAACCAGACGTCACCAGGGCAACTACGGGCAATACAACTTTTAAAATCGCTGGGCATGGCAATGAGAGATACATGTACTGACGCAGTTCAACCCAGCATCTCTGAGAGCGCTCGAACAGAGGCCTGCAGACACCACAATTCTGAGCGGACTATTCCTTAAGACCAGCAACATGTTTGGTTGGGAAAGCAGGAGCACAAGCTGCTGACATCATACCCAGTCGGCTAGCACCATACTACAGATTCAGACCTTAGCTTGAAGATGGTTGTTGTAATCCTCTCCTTGTGATATGACGTCTGGGGCCCTTCCCTGCTCTGGATGAGGTTGGAGGAATCATTCACTTAAACTGTTCATGTGGACATGGAGTAATTCTATTCATTGCTGTTTCGCCAAGCGGCAACGTGCTCCATTTCTCTGTGTGTGTTTTCTTTATGTCAACAGAAACATCAGGCCAAGCGTAAGAACGCTAAGCTGCTCGACCAGTTCCAAGTGTATGAAGTAAGTGTGATACTAGTAGTAGTAACAGATATGGAAGAGTGTACTGTATCAATCGCTGGGTTGCACTGTGGCAAACACTAGTACGTCCCGCAGGTGAGGACCTGAAGAAGCTGCAGCCCTAGCGGGACCAGACTGGGTTAGTCAGGACCTGGCCAGATCAGCGTCTCCCCCCCCCCCCCCCCCAGCAAACACTACAATAATATTTCACGTCACTACTGCGTGATGCACGTGATGTTCCATCTACCATGCAATACGTAATCACACTCGTGTGGTGAAGTGTGGTGTCAAGCACACTCTGGAGGTCATGATGGCTGAATCTTGCGGGTGCAGGATGCATGTGTCGCGTGAGCAGGTGACATGCTGTCTCCAATAGGGGAGTGCGGCACTCACCACGGAAATGTGGTACTCATGTACTGCGGGTAGTGCTTGGCCATCACTGGGGTTTGTTTCTTCTCTTTGTTGCCCGTGCAGAAAGCTGTACGCGAGGAGTATGACGTGGAGCGGGTTGAGGAGAATCCAAACGGGAGAGGAACTTTGAAACGGTAAGTCAGCGTTGAGCGGCTTATATCCCGTGTCAAAAATGGCATCCTGGCACGGCTGTAGCATGAATTGATATTCTGCTAGGATATACTGGTGATAAGAACAAGTGTGAGATCTGTAGTTTTCTGAATGGAAATTGGTGAACTGTTTCTACGGTTGAGGCTGGATTTATTCTTCCCTGATCTCCTCTTTACTCATCTCTCCTTCTCTCTTGCTCTGGCTCTCCATCTGCATATTGTTTCCGTGTCTGATTCTGTCCTATAACCTATCAATCTCCTGTCTCTAACCTCCCCTCCCTCCCTTTCCTTTATCTGTCTGTCCGACCTGGCTATTCCCCTGTAGGAATGGTGAAAAGTCTGAGCGAGGCAGGCGCGGTACAAGCACACCCAAAGAAGGTAGGTTATGCTTGGTGGCATCGCAGCCCTCACAGCTGCCCCTACAGAAGGCTAGCCCCGGCCACTATCATAAATAGGCACCACCAGCAAAGCATGTATTCGCCTATTGTGAATGTGTATGTGTTTCGGCTACTTCAAAGCCTAAGCACCAGTAACTGCTAAAACCTGGCGTTGGTGTAGTGTGATCTACTACTTTCAGCAACCACCTGGTTGCTGTTCACTAGCTTTTTTCTTTCTTTGTCAGCAGAAATGAAGGGTGACCATTGCTGCAGAGACCATCAACTGGCATTCAAAGACTACAATGGTGTACATTAACCTCACGGCTAGTCTCTGATATCGGGTTTTACTTGTACATTGTAAATGTGGTTGAAACTACGCAGCAGTCTGGGCAGCTGTAGGAGCTTACGGCAATGGCTCGTAATTGGTAATGCAGCGGTTATCTAACAGTATTGTTGAGTCCGAAGAAGGATGACTGGCGACATCTTCTCCAGACATTACAACGGACAACGGGAACACGTTATTGAAACGACATTTATTATAGACGACGAGACAAGAGACCAGGACGAACGGAACGACTACATTGAAGAGTGAGAAAGAGATTATCTGAAGAGAGCGAGCTTATTGAAGAGAGAGAGAGTTTAAGAGAGAGAGAGCTCGACTGAGAAACAACGCAATATAAAGGGCCTTGGTAGCTATGGCAAACATGGGCGCGCAAGTAGCTACCCAGGCCAATGGAACGAAAGGTGAGTATGACGTAGTACGGGTGCATGCAGGCCGGCTAGAAAAGGTACGGGAGGAGGTACCTAACAGTATGTTGCTTCATCAGCAGGTCAGAGCTGTTCCGGTCAATACTTGGACCATCGTAAACAGAAATCCTAAATACTTTGCTGATATTGAATAATTGAGCGAGGTGCGAGCAGGGAATTCCCCAAATGCCACAGCAGTATCTTACTACTGTATATGCTTCTTGAATTCTGTTGCCCTGACAGATGAACCGAAGATAAATGGTACGAACAAAGCATCTCCTCAAGCCACCACCAAGCTCATTAAGGATACCCAAGCCAAGTTAATCGAGGAAACGAAAGCCCTCGGCGGGTCGAAGCAAGCTCAGGACAGCCCCAACAAGCAGACTGCGTCCCCTGCTAGTCCGCAGGCAGACAAGACGCGGAGAGCGCAGCCGGACTCGCCAGCACGGCAATCAGTGACAGACTCGCCAGCACGGCAATCAGTGACAGACTCGCCAGCACGGCAATCAGTGATAGACTCGCCAGCACGGCAATCAGTGACAAAGGATTCACCCAGCTCTAGCAACACATCCAGTCCAGGACACAGCAAACTGGCTCCACAGCGCTCGTCGTCCAAGGATGATGTACTCAAGGGTCAGCTCGACGAGAAACGAGCAGCCATGTCGGTGTCACGTAAGCGATGGAAGACGGAAGAGAATAATATCGGAGAGGACAAAGAGCGTAACGTGTCCGGCAGCGATGAATCCAGTGGTGCGAATGATCGCTGGGAGTTGCAGCTTCGTACGTACAAGATCAACTCCAACTTTGATCATGTGCGCCGTGGCAGCTCAACAGAGGCGATGGATAACGGTCTCGTCTCCAGCCCGCGCAGGGAGAGCGTGGCCGTTGTCGGGCAGGAGCGCCGTGCAAGCAAGCAGCTGATTGGCAATGCTGAGAGCGCTCTTGCGGCGCTGGCCAGTAAAGCTGATGCCAAGCAAGCAGCAGCAGCGGCGCCGGGAAAGTTACGACCAGAGCTGCTTAGTATGAACAAAAAGGAATCGGAGGATGGTGAGGTATCTGGCGACAGCGATGAAGATGACTCTCCCGACTTTGAGATTGTCATCCCCAAGAATGTCAAAGTGCGGCCACTGCGGGTTCTTCATCATGACTTTACTGACCTGAAGCAAGCAGATGAAGAAGATTTACTGGCACCTCCACCGGCACCGGCAGTCCCGGCTGGTGGACCACCACCGCCGCCTCCATCGCTAGGCGGGGGGCCTCCGCCGCCACCGCCACCCCCGCCCGGGGCAGGACCCCCTCCCCCTCCGGGCCCTCCGCCCCCGCCTGGTCCCCCACCTCCTCCGGGCGCACCGCCAGCGCCTTCGTCTGCATCCGCCTCGCCAAACACACCGCAGAAGGGCGGCATGAAGAGTCGGCTGAAGGCCATCTTCTGGAAGCCAGTGAAAGTTGCAACGCCAGTATCACCAGTTAAACCGACCAGCACCAGCAGCAAGCAGCCGTCGCCAGCTCATCAAGCCCCTGCCTTGGGGACGCAGGCCAATGCGGGCGCAGCAGATCGCCCTACTATCTGGGCAAACGTCAAGCAAGTCGAACTGGACACGGAAAAGTTTGAAATCCTCTTCAAGGAGAAGCCTAGGGATCCCAAGACCAAGGAGGTGAGCCATGCCCATATCGAATACATGTAGTGGACTTGCTTGCGCTGCATATGTGTGATACATTTGTATGTGTTGGTAAGCGTGAATGTGTGTGCGTGAATGTGTGTGCGTGTGTGTGTGGGGGGGGGGGGGGGGGGGGCAGGGGTGTCGGAAGGTATTTCAGGATAGTTTGGTCAGTTATTACTTCAGGTGCCATCCTGGGGTCCTCTTCTGAAAATCCCCTAATTAATTTAGAGACGACAATCATCATGTTTAATTTCATTACAAAATGTGCACTAGCAATGAGAAGTGGCACAGTCAACGCCATACTCCATGGCAGCCGTAGGGTGTCTGTTGCAAAATAAGGATCCACGAGCGGGATTCGAACCCAGCACCGAGCATAGGACAGTGCCCTGCCAATTAGGCTACCTCACACCCACCCACGAGTCCTTGCTACATGCCCAACGCCCTTTTGTGGTCATGGGGAGCTTGTGCATGGCAGGAAAGGAATGCTTTCAACACAGTAGAACAGAGTGAACTGTAGCAAAGGAAGCCGCAGCTTAGACGGTATAACTCCCTACTTTCCTGCTCCGTCCCAATAGGCAGTCTACACCTGCACTGGTACACAGCACTGCCCGCAGAGTGCGGCCCAATGTGGAAACACACACACTGGTATGGTACATGATCCCAGCAGGTGAAGAATACTGCCGAGTTTTAATGTCTTCACACTCTCGCACACACACACATACATACATAAATACATACACACACACACACACACACACACACACACACACACACACACACACACACACACACACACACACACACACACATACACACACACACACACATACACACACACACACAGAGGGTGGTTGCAAGCACTGGTGAAGTAACGAACGCCCACACAGTACTGGTGGTTTAGGCAGTGCTAGCAGGCAACTCATAGTGTTATCATTTGTCTTTCTGCTCTGTGTAGAGTAACTCGTCGCCGAAGAAACAGACGATCAATGTGCTGGACAATAATCGTAGCCGTAACATCAACATCTCCATGACCAAACTGCCGGCCACTCGCTATCTCAAGCCTGCCATCATGCACATGGACACGGCACACTTGACCAGGGAGGGAATTGAGGTGAGTGAACGCTGCTTTATTCAGCTCGCCGCGGCATGGGAAAGCCACCTTTGGGCATAAGGCAAACACCTGTGCCGCTGCCGGTGTGTCAGGCGCCGTGATGGTCTCATGTGCACATTGAATGAACTGCTTGTGGGCAATTCCAGACGCTGATGGGTTTGGTGTGTGGCACTCAAAATGAAAGTTTGATTGGATATTCTAACGTTGCATCTGTTACCTGATGATCGTGACTACTTGAAACTTGGAGTTGCAATACAGCTTCCTCTCTCTCTCTCTCTCTCTCTCTCTCTCTCTCTCTCTCTCTCTCTCTCTCTCTCTCTCTCTCTCTCTCTCTCTCTCTCTCTCTCTCTCTCTCTCTCTCTCTCTCTCTCTCTCTCTCTCTCTCTCTCTCTCTCTCTCTCTCTCTCTCTCTCTCTCTCTCTCTCTCTCTCTCTCTCTCTCTCTCTCGTGTTGTATTCTAACTTTACATGCATCTCCACGAATGGTATTATAATGTGTGACACAGTCCATCCTGAAAATGAAGCCAACAACCGAAGAAATCACCAAGATCAGAGCAGCACGCCAGGAGAACGGACCGGACGTTCCAATGGCCACGGCTGAGGAGTTCCTCCTGACGCTGTCCACCATTTCCGAGTTGGAATCAAGATTGAAGCTCTGGCACTTCAGAATCTCATACGAGAGCATGGAGAGTGTGAGTATTTAAAGTCATGCGCTGATGTGAATCGCCATTTGAATATTATTTTATTGACATGGAGTTGTGTACATGAGTTTATAGTGTTTCATGAAATGTGAACCCCGTTGAATGGATCAACTCTGAAAGATCTGAGCTGAGCAGCCTGGACGCACATACAATGATCGTGCAGTACCCGTTTCGTAATACGGTCTAAGCCGAGTGAAGTGTTATGATGAACGGGCACACACATGCGTCTCGGTGAAGGACAATGAAGACTGAAGACTATTTTGGTCCGAACTGAAAACTGGCGCAGGGTTTTTGCAACTTTTTGGCAGGGTCGCCGCCATGATCCCAGCTAGAGTAGAATCAGCAGACGGCTTGTCACTGCCTGTGGCATTTTGAGAATGTTTGCGTACCCGTCGCATACTTGCAGCACTTTAAAGTACTTCCCTGCTGATTGCGGCGGACTCCGACTCCAAAGTAACGGCCATTGCTGTGAGCGGGAACTGCCAGTGCACCTTCGGGACTTCTCCGCCTTCAGCTTTCTAAGCAAAGGTAGGTGAAAATGTGAACTGCCGAGTAATCCAAGTCGCGGACAAGAAGTGACCGGACGATGCCACTGTTCAAGGTACAGTCTGCCTACAATACCTGTGTTTGTTTTCACACTGGCAATTCAGTCCGCTGATATTCAAACCATATTTCTTTTCCCGTTTGCATCTTTCCCTCAAACCAATGAACATAATTATTACTTTTGTTTGATATCACTTTGAGCAGGACAGTCCCATAGAAGATGAAAAATACTTCTTGCTGTTTCCTTTTAGTTGTGACAGTTCTCTACACGTCTAGCATGAATATTGAATACAATGTTTTTCGGGGGGGGGGGGGGTGATTTGACTTCCATGCAATGTGGCTTTCCCTACCTTTCAGACACTCGGACTGCAACAGTAGTGATATTGTTGTACATCTATATGGCTCCATCATGTCCATTTTGGTAACAAGACAAACTTTAGATCAGAATCATTCAATGCACAATATCTTCATTGTGCTCTGGATCCTGGAGCCAAAGAACATAATTATTTTTCAAGAACAGAACAAGCCGCATAGTTTCCTGCACGGTTCATTCAAATGATATCTTGCTCCCAGGCAAATCCTGGTCTTGTCTGCCTTTTCAACTATTACTTACTGCATGTTGCTGATGCCATGGCGGATGGATGATTACAGTGTGCTGAAGCAGCATTGCATTGCAGACACATAATAGGGCTTGAAAGTGCTACGTCACTCCATAGCAATGGCATAGCAACAATTTGAAAAATTCGAAAACTGGATCCACCTGGATCCAGTTTTTGTATGGATCCAAGCACATTTCAAGCGGTCTCACTCACAGCAAGGTGATGTTGCCAGTGAAACTGACTGATTTGGCTAGTGGGGGCGGGGTGACAACTGGTGGCGAAGTAAAAGTTGCACCTGCATACGACATGAGTGGGTTGCTATGCACCCACATACTGAGGCAATAGCAAAGTCACACCTTAGTGGATCCAAAATAGAAATCTGATGTCAATTTACTACTCCCAGGCCGTTTTTGACGTCATCACTTTCAAGCCCTATTGGTAGTCTAGCATAGAACTTCGGACTCATCCCATCACCCGTACCGTAGATCTTCCAGGCGCATCATTCTCTACGTACATGCTGAAGCTAAACCACCTGTCCTGCATAAAGATTAGTGTGACTTGGAAACCAGAAGAATGAAAAATGCCTGTGTTTCTTCCACAAAGACTTCTGGAAGTGGTACCCAAGTGGGATTGCGGTCTTCGAAGACATGCATGCATTAAATTTTGGTTGTGGATCGGGAATGCCACGGTTTGAAAGTCTTTTTTGCCGAATTCCCGGAAGTGACGGTCCTGTGATCGTGACCCAGGGCCCACGCCCTCGGCCCCTCGCTCTTCTTTGAAAAAGCTCGTCACGTTCCCGTAGGATCAAGCGCGCCTCTATAGCTCAGTGGCAGAGCACTGGTCTTGTAAACCAGGGGTCGGGAGCTCAATCCTCCCTGGAGGCTGCATGGACCCCATGGTGCAGGCAAGTCGCAGTGGAATCCTTTTTTGTTTCCTTTTTTTCTCGCTGATTCTGATATCGATGGGCGCACTTCATAAGTTCATTGATATGACTCTGTCTTCACTACACTAGTCAGAGTAGTCGATGTCCGATAGATATCGCGATCCCATCACAACGTCTGTAGACTACGCGACAGCTAGCTACTGAACAGGGCGGTCCGCGGTGGGCAGTGCAGTGAGCGTTGCACTGCTGTACTGCAGCTTGATCTTCCCGCGGCCCGGTCTACTGCCAGTACTGGCCATGCTGACTGTGTGGACCTCGCTGCGCGTGCATGCCTGCCACATTCACACTCCGTGCACAGACTCAGTGCAGTGCTGGGTGCGTCACGTACCTGGTCACCTCATCACCTACTTTTTTTTCCATTTTTGATCTTCAAGCTGCAAGAAGTAGCAAGAGTTCTTCATCGTCGTCGAAGGGCCATTTCAGGTTGGCTCATAGCAACTGATTGCTCTTTGACCGTGAAGTCGAAGACGCAGTTGCTGATCGCTTGCAGTTCGCTGCAGTGTAGCAGGAAGCCACAGACTCGTGTCTTCTTTGTTGTGAGCCGTGACCTGCTGTCGTCGGTGTGTTGGTGACGTGGAAGGAGTTCTTGCTATTGCATTCCTTTGGCTTTGGATATGGCGTCTCTACAGAGAATTCTTCGCGCTCAGCCGCTTCGCTTGGCTCTAGTTTGCCAAAGATCCTGCAGTGATTCTGCTCTGAAGGTCACGCACACTGGACAGGTTTGGGAGGCCGACGACTTTCGTAACATTCGATTTATTGGTAGATACAAGCAAGTAAACCCGAACTTTGCGAATGAGTTGATTGCTCAGGTCCCTCCGAAGGAGGTGGAGGATCGCGTGGTGTACTGTGACGGCGGAGATCCCTCCATTGGTCACCCGAAAGTCTATCTGAATCTGGATCAGAGTGGACCGCATTCGTGCACGTACTGTGGACTGCGATTCGTGTTGAAGAAGGAGCATTGAGAGAGAACTGTCTGTTCAGCTTGCCCCTCAGTTGATGTTTGGAGGAGCGGTGCGTGTGATTCCGTGCCGGGATGGAGATCAGTGAAGCTGTGGACAGCGTGACACGATGTCAGCAAGGGATGTAGCGTATCGCGCTGCACAATATCGCGGGCGTTGCTTTGCACGTACTGACTGACCTGGAAGCTACCAGCTAGGCATATGAAATTTCACGGCTTTGGTGCTGTGTTGACCATGTTGACCTCTTTCATTGAGGGTTGCTGCACATAATCACGAGTCACACAAGTCTAAGACGCCTGACCCAGTCAGTGCATTAGCCGTCTTTGACTTTGTGTCCACTGCACAGAGTTCATGCCGTACTTGTTCGTACCATGTTGATCATGACTTGTACTTGTACTGGGATCACCCACCAGTGCAGTGGTATCCCTCTATTTATATCCCCTGTTTTGTGAAGATCCCAAGACAATCAATGATTGTAGTGAAGTACAACTATTTCTACTGTATTTTTAAACTTGCTTGAAGGCGTTTGTGTTTTTTCTTCAATTGATTTCCATCTGGGCTGAGTTAATTAATTTTTAGATATGATTGTGCCAAATTGTTTGACTGCAATGTCAGCCAGTGGTTGGAAGTAGAACGTACAATGAAGATGACAATAAGTTTGTTCTCGTGTGATTCTGGCACTGGCTTGAACGGAGTGAAGGCCTGGACTAGCAGTGGGACATTGGATTGTGTGAGAGATATCTGCAGTAGTAACGTTAGACTCTAGTTCATGTACGTGAACAGCAACATCGGGCGCCAAAGAACGAGTGGCTGCGCCTCAGGCTAGTGGTGTTCTTATTTTCGAGATCCCAGCTTCTTCGTTTATTCTGTGATTGTACATTCACATAGTACAGATGCACTGTTAAAAACAAATTCTAGCCTGGATGTGTGGGTAGCTCTTTCTTTGGTGTTGATGTTGATGTACTGTATGGACACGCCTGGTCCTAAATGACTCAGCGATACGCTGTGTGCACGTTCACAGTACAGAATACCGTGTCCCATTCTTGAATGTGTGCCCGCACAGAGCTCCAATTCGTTAAAAAATAAAGTTCCCACGTCCGCGTTACAACCGGCTATACTATTGCGTTGAGAACACAACCAGCTTAGGAAGTTTCGCTCGTGCCAGGCCACCATCATGCCTGTGATACCAGGGTGGCAGATGCAGCGCCTAACGGCGAGGGTGTAGCACTGAAATTATAGCCGCATAGTAGAGCTCTCCTTATCCGGGCCGGACAGGCACTGCCCGTAAATAGGAACATACAGCCATACTGATTTATGCAAGTACATGTATGTTCTCTGGACTGTATGCCGCATTGCGTACCAAATAAGTGCATGTCTTATCAGAGTACATACAAGGCGAGTTCCACGGCAACATCTTTCTTTTGTCTCACTGAAATATGTCACACGGACAAGGGTTTCTTCTACAGCATGTAGGCTGCACGATTTGACAATGGAAATGTTGTGGAAATTCACCCTGAGAATCTCTCCTCCCGTTTTCTTTGTTTCTGGTGTGCTCAGGATGTTGCCAGTGATTTGGTGTATGTGAAAGGAGCTCTGCACGCCCTGGAAACATCGGACACGTTCAAGAATGTCCTGGGCATTTTACTCACCATCGGAAACTTCCTGAGTGGAAAAGAGGTAAGTTGAAATAGTGGCTTGAACATCCTCCTGGAATACTGCCCGTCACACAACCATGGCTACCATGCTGACTTCACAAAGCCGGTGACTTGCTTTTACAACCGTGATTGTATCTTTTCTGAGGATCATTGGTGACTATTAGTATGACATCATTGTATATTTGAAGTAGTATTCTGATGGCTAAAGGTTCTAACTGTTGTCTTTTATAAACACTTTTTTCCTTTTGTGCTCAGTACCAGGCCTTCCATCTTGACTTCCTCACCAAAGTTCCGAACATCAAGGACAATTCACCACACAAGCACTCCATGCTCTTTCACGTCGCCAACATGATGTTGGACACGTATTCGAGCGGGACCAACCTGCACTCAGACTTTGCTGACGTCCACAAGTGTGCCAAGGTAAATATACATAGTGTCAATGCAAATCATAGTAGTAGGGAGAGGGGGCAAGATTAACCTACTAACCTTTGAATGGAGTAAGGTATGATGCTGATATCTGCCGGATGTATGTGCATACGATACCCTTGCACAAAACACACAAAACACAATTTTATGGTGTTGACTGCGAGCATTGATCTAGTCAGGATGTTCTGGCTGAAGACATATCATATGTCACATTACTTGTGTGCTTCATCGTGCCTCTGCTGTCCAGATGGATTTCTCCGTATTTCAGCAAACCCTGAGCAAGATGGAGCAGAATCTGGATGAGTCCTGGGAGCACTTGCGCAAGATAGCCAAGCAGGATAGTTCCAAGGAGCTGAAGATGCAGTAAGTAGTGACGGATACTCTGGCCATGGTGATCGGACGTATACACCAGAGAAGCTGTGCACATTGTGCTACGTTACTCCTTCAAGTAGCGGAAGTTTGTATAAACTTTCAACTGGAAAAGAGCTAAGCAATGAAAACTTCCGTAGTCCAGACCGTACATTCGCACTGCAACGCAGCGGTGATACACGACACCCTTATGCCGTTGTACACTGACCACATGCAACCATGACTGCTCAAGACCCATATTTCGTAGGAAGTGCCCACTCTCGTGCAAGCTCCGAAAGAACCGATTTCGAAACGTCGAGGACTGGTCATCAGCTTTCTTGCACTAAACAAGACTACTGGTATCTACTTGTATACTAAAGTACTTCGACAGTCTGTGACCTGTGTACTTGTGTGATACAAATGACCGACATGGCAGGAAAGTGTACAGTAATCATGATGGTAATCTTCATTGCTGTAATTCTACTTGCGCAGGTTGTCTCAATTCCTGGGAGACGTCATGGAGCGTATCCAGGTGTTGAAAACCGTTCACAGGAGATTAGAAAACAGGTGAGCTGAGAACTCCGTTACCCACTCATTCATTGGTCTTGTTGTTAGAGCTGATGCCAGTGTTCTATTTTACGTTGTTAGTGAGTCCTCCAGCAAATTTTGTGAACTATTAAACTTGTCAACAGAGCTCGAGTTGACCTGCTAAAAGTTGTGTGTTTTGTACGTCCTTGCATCAAAATCAGTGATAGTCCTTAAAAATGTAGTGTATAAATGTTCTGATTGCTCCGAATTCCAGGTATCATCGCATGTTGCTCTTCCTGGGCTTCGCTATGGAGGATGCAAGGAAAATGAAGGTAAGAACAAAGAAGTCTGAGTTTGTGACAGATGCTGGAGAGTTTTGTGCTTTCATGTGAAATAATAGTACTGGTACATTACATGTATAAAGAACACAAGGGTCTGAGTTTGTGACATAAAAAAATATATAATAAAAGTCTGTGACATGCTGAGTTCTACAAAACAGGGTACGGTATTAAATGGTAAAACGTAAAACTATACACTTATTGATGTTAATGAAAATAGGGTTTGAAAATTGAAACTTGGAATAATGCGACTCCGCAGTGATCGCAGTAATCCACGGAATTCACCCGTTTGCCCACAGAATGTGAGTTCTTGCCAGTGGCGAGCAGTGAGCACATAATTGCTGTTACCAGCGGATGTGAGTGGAGGTATTTCCAAGAAGAGGATGGTGAAGCTCTCTTCCACACTGCTTCCATAACATGCTGTGCAGAGGCAGGACTACAGCATACGTCGAAGAGAGAAATTGGGCTGCCGAGATGGTCTATAAAGTAGTGTTTAAACCGAACACGGATTCTTCGAACGAATAATCTATCGAATAATTTTGCTGTGTGTCTGTTTAGATGGAAGAGCTGTGTAAGATGTTGAGTGAGTTTTCACTGGACTATCGTACGCTGTATGACAAGGTGGTCAATAGTCGCAAGAAGAAGGAGAGCATGAAAAGAAGGCAGAAGACCGTTGGACTCACTATCACGGGGGTGAGTAGTGACAACTATTAAAACTGGCCTCGTTAGTATAACTCTCTTTCCCTGCTGCTGCTGCCGATCATGATAAGTTTCGCAGCCCAGCCCCATTGCTAACTAAGGCTATGATCGTTTGGTCGGATCCGAATCCAGATCGAAATATCAAATCCGTCGGATCCTTCAGAATCAACCGATCACTTTTTCTCGGACCTTGGCTGTTGGCATGTTGACGAAGTAAAAAAATGGCGCTGACAGGTCACCCAAAAGGGCGAAAGTCGTACTGATCGCGCACGTCGTACGAAAAGTCAACCAAAGTCTACTAGTCGTACGACAATGAGTACAAAGATGATTTTACCCGCCATATACGCACAAAGGTCACATTTGGATCCGATGGATCCAGTCAACCCTGCTCCCAGGGCAGGGTTGCTCGGATCCAAATCCAAAGGATCTGGAAAGGATCTGGATCCGAGCAAATGATCACGGCCTAGTACTTGTGTGTAAGTATAAGCAAGCTTTGAGAAATAAGTATAAGCAGCATAAATTATTGAATGTACGTTGAAGTACACAGTTCTGGTCTCTCATGCTTTAATCCCGCAAACAATGGCCCAGGATTGGGCATGAGAGAAGAGCGTTGCCATTATTCGCGAGGTCGAAATTTGAAGTATGCAGCCAAAGAGTTGTTACTGTGTCTGAGGCTGCGTTTACACGACAACGCTGGGGGTGAAAACGTAACAAAATCCTTTCGGATGCAAGGTTCATTTACACGGTAAGAGGTGATTTGGCTTTTTTTTAACATGGTTGTAAAATGTCGTGTTTTCAGCAACTCCTAGGAAGGCTACTGCCAAATTAATTATGGCAAGTGGAAGTGCTATCCTTCATGCCAGTTGTGTCCAAAAATGGGAATGATCCCACTTTGGAAAGTGCCTTGAATCATGTCCTACTTGTGTAGTGTCTGACGTGACCCAGCTTGCCACAATGCCAGCATTGGACGGTTGGAGCTCGGCGTGGAGGATGGTCTCCTGCTACGGCGGGCCAAACAGGTTCTGACCGCGGCTGGGTCGCGGATAGCTTTGCCTCAAGCAGATCCAGGCGGTCCAGCAACTTCGCGAGGAGCTGTGGTTGTGGATCCGCGCTGGCACTGGCGAAGACACTAACAGGCGCTGGGGCCGACGGGATGACACTTTCGGCCTGGTGAATGGCGTCATACTGAAGGGCGGCCTGAAGCAGCGCCTCGTCTAGGGTGGCCACGTTAAGCTCCCGTATGCGTACGCGCATTGCCCGAGAATCCAGTCCAGATAGGAACTGATCTTTGGAAAGAAGGTCTCTGTCCACATCCTGCATCGGGGGGTAAGCGAAGCAACCCAGCTCGCAGACAGCCTCGCAGTACTCACCCAGCGATTTCTTGTCTCGCTGGGCTGGGGCGAACCTGGCTTGCAATGCTTGGGCCAAAGCGGCCAACCGTCCTTGTCGCACAGCTTGCGGCAGGGCCTGGTAAAACAGGAGCGCCTTGCCTTTGAGCGCGAGCGGCAGGAATTGGACGGACTCTTGCGGTGTCCACCCGTTGACAAGGGCAACTTGCTGGAACTGCAGCCACCAAGACTCCCATCTATCCTGGCGGCCGCCACCAAACTTGTCCGGGGTGGCCCACTGCCGTGGTAGAGGGGCACGCGGTGCCTGAGCGGGAGCAGCCGGGGCAGCCTGTGCAGGTTATTGAGCGGGTTGTGGTTGCTGCTGAGCCATACTTTAATTATAATCGAGAACCACGGAACGGATGAGATGAACCAAAGGAAAGGACGGCGACTACGAAATACTGAAAAAGACTATTATAACAAAGCACGTAAGGTACGAACACTTCTGACACCAGTGTAGTGTCTGCCAGCCTGCTCGTGTCTGAGGCACTTTGGACTTATGCCAGAAAGTGATACAGGCTGACAGCATTAGCGGGAGGAAAACAAGCTCTTGGGCTTACAACTCTTTACTTCACAATGCCACAAAGCAATGAGAAAGAATGATGGGTTTATATAGGCCAGGGGAGAGAGCAGCTGGGAGCGAGGGCAAAAGAAAGCAGGAAACAGCAGGACAAGAAACAGTGTGGGGGGAAGAATGGACCTAAGTGGCAAGCAACTGGTGCCGCCACAGGAATGACATCTAAAACTGTGTAGCGCAAGGAATCTTACTTGTAGGGCTCGTTAATGGGGCGGGAAGGATGTTGGGAAACACCGCTATTCAAAGAAGAGAAGCTGAATAGAGCGAGGGAATCTTATACTTGGTGATTAAGAGGGCCGGGGATGCGCAATGGCGTATGAAGTAGGACTACAGTCTAGTACAGCAATCAATGTAATGCAGAGTACAGCATGAATGGGTGTAATAGGTCGTGCCGTGCCGGGCATGCGCATAAGGCTCAAGCGGGATTCACAGAAGCTTTTTTGCGATGCGACACACGGTGCGACTGCCGCGAAACTGGGAAATCCCCAAACCCCAGCCATCTCGCACCCCACGCAACTGCCGCAACTGGGCCATCGCAGAAGTTGAGCTTGGCTCAACTTTTGCGATGCGACAAGCGATTTGGCGTACGATTTTGACCTTTTCTACAGCAAAGTTGTACAAAGGTTCAAGAGTTGCCAATAAATTGGTACAAGTTGTACCAAACCGCGCGAATATCATGGTGACGTACCCCAAATCAGCAAGACGTCGCATCGCTGACTTCTTGTGTGAATGGTATTTCGCGAGTTCGCATCGCGACAGTCAGGGATACTACACTTTCATAGTATTCTCAGTATTCCTGTCCCCACGTGCAGAGGATACCGCGATTCCGCGGACGTGCAATTTTCCGCGTTATTAGCCGTCATCCGCGTTTTCGAGAGATTTTGCATAAAACCCGCGTTATTCATGGAAATGTACAAGAAATTTGCACATGATATTGAAAATGTATTACAAAGTCGTACCGTTGCATGAGTTTGTACGACAAAGTAGTATACTTGCATGAAACTGCATGCTAAAGTTGTGCAAATAACAGAGAACATGGGCATAATAGAGAGGTTCCGCATAACGTAATTACGTTAGTAAAAAACATAGTCGATCTACGGAAAGTCTTACGTAAACTGCATGCGCATCTGTGTTCCGCCATACGGAGTTTTCAAATCACGTAGCTGCCCTTGGCAACTCCGAACGCGGCAGTGTACGACTAGATCGAGCTGGGAGAGAGTCATAAATTTGTACCCCAATCCACTTACGGACCAGATACGTTATCAGAGCCCTATCTACGTAGACAACTGTCCGTAAGTGGAGTGCAAACTCGCGAATTCACGGGTTTTCCCCGCCCACTAACGTAAAGTTGCTCAACTTTACGTAGTGCGGGACCTCTCTAATGACCGCATTATACCGCATATTTGCCGCATAAATGGCCTGTTTTCGCCCTCATAATTTTAGGAGTTCGTCCGCGTTATACTGTGGGGACAGGTATTCAAATACTTGGTGTCATTATTTTACAAATTTGTAAAATGGCATCACGAACTGGGATATTCAGTCACCAATGTTCTGAAGTTAATATCCATCACTTCAATGAGTGCCAGCAAGAGTACATAAACCAGAGTGTGCAACTCGGGATGGTTCCTGTGGGAGCGTAATTCGTGCAGTACGTCATTTCTGACGCCTTGGTAAGCCACAGGTACAGTGAAAAGTTGCGTAACCAGTCACGGAGTTTGTCCTGATTTCGGTTTTTTGATACGGATAGCCTGGTGAATTTACTTGTCAATGGATGTACGCAGCTTACACAGCCCCATAAAAGCACCGAAATACTGAAACATGGTTGATTTCCGGGCTATGAAACATGAAAAATTTAGCTGTACGCAAGTCGCGGCTTGCAACCTCATCAGGGTGACGTAGTGCACGAACTACGTTGTGCCAGATCTGATATGCACAGTTGCACGCTCTGGTTTAATTCTGTCCCCTTGGAAAAACGCGATTCCGCGGCCGCGGCAAATTTCGCAGAAGTTGCCATCATCCGCGGAAATCACGGAATCCACAATGGTCAAGCAGATCATCCGAGAAGGACGGGCTGGTGTGCTGACTTATTTGCCAGCTTGAAGCGACTACAAGAATGGCGAACGGGCCTCCTCTCTAGCTTCAATTTAGGAAAATTTAGGACAAGTATTGGTTTGATATTTTGACAAAGTCTTGCTCCCGGCAGCCGGCGATCACCGGCGCGAACGGTTCACAAACCACTTTTGGTCGAAATTGTACGGGATCGGCGCCGGGGCAGATCGCAAGAGTTGGGCACTGTCCAACTTTGCCGGCGGTCCCTTGCGATATTTTACCGTATGATTTTGTTACGACTGCACTGGTTCACACAATCGCAATGCGCCGGGAGAGGTTGCAAGAAGCCCACCGCCGGTGACTCCCGGCGCGTACCGGCGATATGTGAACCAACCCTAAGAGGAGGGTGAAAAACATGCAGAACGTGCCGCAGATTTTTGATTTTACCGCAGAAAATGCCGCAGAAAACCCCCCTTTTCCCCGCGGAATTTGCCGCGGAATTTTGAATTCTTCGCCGCGTTTTTCCAAAGGGACAGGTTTATGTACTCTTGGTGCCAGTAGATGAAAAATAACTTGTCAATTGCATCGTGTGCTACGAAAGGCAGTGAATTTGAATTTGTAACTAGTGGCGGTGTCAAACTGTGGAATTGGATAGGTAGCATAGCACCGCAGCGGTCTTTTTCGTTCTCACAGAGTGTATTCAGTGATCTACTGCTCTTGATATTGTCAAGAGTAGATATTGTTCGAGGATTCGTCAGAGTAGCTGCGGAGAACTCGTTTTCACGAATGGAAGCCTCTTCATTCGTGGCACGCTCCGAATCCGTCAGGTACACATTTATTTGGATAGGTACACATGTTTTGCAAGATACACATTTTTCCCTTGATTCCATGATCCATGCACGTGTGCGTGTAAAAACCCGTGCGCCAAACTACCGGCGTCCGCGGCCGTATTCGTAGTTGCCATGCACATTTGCATGACGACTTGCGAAACCTGAAATCTGTTTTCAACGAAACGATTACGAGCCGAATCAAACTTTCGTTTCGCATTCGTTTCGTAGCAAATGCGAAAGGTCCCTATTCCCGGGGTTGGACGACCTACGGACCGCATTGAGCTCATCGTCCATGTTCTGTCAAGCAATTGGGTGTGAGAAAGCACAACACTACAGCACAGGGCATTTGGGAACTCTCCAACAGGAGTCATATCATTGATGTATACAAATGTTTTTGTCCATTCCACAACTTACAGGGAAAGAGAGCCGGTGGTGTGGATGCAACAGATGGTACACCAGTGAAGAAAGCCATGCCAGTATCTAAACCATCAGAGACCACTCCCAACCTGGACAGTAGTTTACTAGCCAATGATGGGGACCAAGACAACGACTCTCTCTTCAAGGAGATTGTTAAGGAGGCAGCCGCACCAAAGAAGCCCATGGGAAAGTACAAGCGAAAGCGGCCATCACAGAGACGCAAGACTTGTAAGTGGCTTTTGCATGTGCAACATTATTACTTCGAAGAAGAGGTATACCCGCTTTCGCGCCACGCGTGTACTTGCCTATGTAAGCCATCTGAGAAGTGATACACCTACAGAAAGGTTTGAGCATTACACAAGCAGAATACGAGGTGGGAATGGTCCTTACACCCATTGTACAGGTGTACAAAGTTCTGCATGAGGAATGTAGGTGTGGAGATACCCGGTTGAGGGTTCATTGTGTACTATACTCGTACATACACACTAGACCAATTTAGTCTCAGTATCAATGGCAAACAAACACTTTTCCAGCTGCATTACTTTGGATAGAACTAATGACTAGCTAGATCTTTGTCGGAAAAAGTTCATATTAAAAATGCCTTGTTGGAAATACCAGTAAACACAATGTTGTCCTGCGCATTCAACACCCAACCGGATATATGAGATTCTGCGTTATTTCTTGTATAAGACTTATTCAGGGGGTTCCATCAGATTTAGACTAACTAAAAAAGATCACTGCAGTAGTTTTTAGATGGACCGGATTTATATCTCCTTTGAAAGGATTGGGAGAACTTCAAAATTCTCATGATCAGTGATTTAGATTACCGTGGTATTTTATCTTACCAAAAATAACAAAATCAATGCCTTTTTCTTCTTATTCCTGTGCTTGCAGTACGCCGGACAATCAACAGTCAGCAAGAAAAGGACGCAATCGAACAAGCACTGAGAGACCAGGAACAAAAAAATGCATAGGACCGAACCAACGGAAAACGCCCTAAACAACGATTACAGCTTTCACGGATGTAGCACCGCATTGGACCATTATTGAAACCAGGACAATGTACAGTGTAATAGTGCTAGGCTGGTGCAAAACATGTAGCAGGCATCACCGGTCTTGTAGATATTGATGCATTCTGCAGTGGAGACATTCATCATCAATGCACAGATGATGTGCAGGTGTTAGCGAGGGCAAACAGTGTGCTAGCATTAGAAGCCTACTTTAGAAAGTGGGAAAGGCCAGCAAACGCTCTATCATCTTCTCACAGGAAGCAGAACTTGACTTTTATGCGGACAGATCACTTTCTATCTTTTTTTGGAAATCACCGAATGTGCATTTCATGGCGCCATATCTAAAAGAAATATTCGGTATTTTCAGATTTTATCAACAAGTTACCATTCTGGCTTGACTTTCTTTTTTCCTCATTTATCTAAATCTGCCAAGTGATACATGTACAGGACTACCATCTATATGTCCTACAATAACTGCTCATGATTGTGTGCAACGAATGAAGTATGCAAAAAGAACATACCGGTACACTGTACAGTACTTTGCTTATACAGTAAAACCTGTAATGGCGACCACTCGGATATGGCGACCACTTTTCCTTGTCACGGACGCATTCACATTCAAAACACCTCGGATAAGGCGACCACTCGCTCAAGGCGACCACCCACCCGCGACCGCTTTGTACAGTGCTAGTCATGTAAATGTATGCATTGCATGGTGCACCAGGCATGGTAGATCTACACATCAGTGCAGGAAGTGTAGATATATGTACATGGTACATGCACGACATTTGACAGGTCTGAGGACCCCAGGCACATGACTCACATGACTCATGAGTCGTGCTAGAGTAGCATACTAGGTACTAGGTTTGTGCACTGTCTGTGCTGCACTGATCAGAATGATGTATCACATGTGGATATGGTCACGTGACCCACTGAACCTGGATAAGAAGACCACCTGGCCACGGCGACCACTTTTTCTCGTCCCTTGAGGGGTCGCCTTAGACAGGTTTCGCTGTAACTATTATTACGTACATGTATCTTATAATCTAGACTAGAGTGCATCCTATCGACCAGGTACCACTGCACTTGGCACTTACTTGTCACATACCGCTTAGCTGAACTCAAGAGATGGAAGATGCGTAGACATCCACTGCATAGTCATGTATACAGTTATGTGGACGTGAGGGATGAGTCGAAAGTGAAAAAATTCACATGGAAAAAGTGGACACATTCGATATGGTCACCACTGCTTCCGTGCGATATCAACCTGCACAAATATACAGAAAGGGGTAAGAAAACCAGTTTAGAAGAATGGCCCCACAAAAGAAGAAAACGGCAAAAGGGCGTATATTTGCGTCAGATACTATCTAGTGCATTGCAATATGCACCCACCATCGGCCGAAGCCTCTAGCTGGGTAATCATAATCATACGCAAAAGAGCTCCAATACATTAATATAACACACACACAAGTCTCACCTTATGAGCGGGACTAAGACAGTGACTATCAAACAATGTTTCTCTTCAGCAGACCAATAATTTCAGTACAGAACAGCCAAAGAGATTGCCAAACTGAATCATTTTCGGCAAAGAGCATGCGTTTCATTCCTTTCTTGGCTGCCATGTGTCAATATCATGCGCAGGCGCATAAAGGAACACGTGATCTGCTGATGACGTCGAGAAAGCCGAAGGCGCACTGTACTGGCGGCTGGCGCCGCGCAGCGAGCTCCAGCTAGCAGCGTCTTCCTTTTCTTTTTCTCCTCGTCTTCAGCATTTTTAGAATTTTGAAAACTTCTCAAAATTGTACAGCTGTTACGAATCTTCATTCTTCTTGCACGACAGTACAGTAAGAGAGTTCTCTTGGTAGATTCGGTGTGCTACCTCGGTTGGGAATTTAGTGCCCGTATTGCAAAAGCGAGATGTCTGGAGTGGCTGTTACAAACTTTTCTGGTGTGTTTGAGGGCAAGACAGTCTACTTTCATGTACTGAAATTGAAGGGCAGTTTCTATCTGTGGATTGGAGATGAGAAAGGCTCACTGGACTCGCTCTGCATGTCGGCGAAAAACCCCTATGTACGTATGCCTCGGTGTCTATGCTCATTTGGCCGCTGTAAAAAGCTCAGTGTATAACTGAGTGGTTACCACATGTGCTCGTCATGTGCAGAGCCCAACACCAATTTCAACGACCATAGTGAAAGGCGGTGGAGAGAGACTGTTTGGCGAACGACTGGCTGGGAAACTCAGTGAGTGAAGTATACGCTTTTACGTTTAATAAAAAAAAACAATTTTACCTTGTATGCTCATCGGCAGCGGGATCCTACGGGCACACATCACACACCCATGCACGCCTATGTGCACACACACACACCGTTGGGCGTTTGGAAACCCCAGCTGAAAGTGTTACACAAGACGTTAATTGCTTAGATAGGTCAATCTGACGATGGATATCACGACCACAGGTGTGGACACTTGCCTTGAATTGGCTAGACTGTTTCCGACGGCTAACTAAGATGACCTTAGTCTATCCGGTTCTGGCCAAGCTGATACAACTCTGTTTCTAAGATGTTATTAGTATGCGGATTAACAGTTGCCACATCCCACCATCAAAAATGTCCACACATTCAAGCCGCCCACTCACCCAAAGGCAACTTATCTGACTCCACAACACCAACACCCATCGGCATGAACTTGGTTTTGCCCAGATTGACTGAGAGGCCGAAATAATGATCCCGCAACCTCCTGGAACATAGTCAAGGCCCGTTCAGCACCATTGTACGTGTTGGCAAACAGTGACGAATCATCTGCAAATTGGCACTGTGTTGATCTCACTCTGCCACACTCCTTGATGCGTGCATTAACCCTTGCGGAACCGATATCCTCGTCATTGACAATTGTAGCACGCCATCTTTCCACCATTGCACCTGTGAACAAGTTGCCCATGATCGGGGCCATAGTGCATCCTTGCCGTAAGCCATTCCCCACCGGGAAAAGTTCCAGCAGATCTGCGCCGAGGCGGATAGATGCAGACATGTCGTCATGAAACGATCGAATGATGACAATCAGCTTATCCGGTATGCTGGGCCTAGAAAGAACACTCGGCATGGCTGCTCTTCATACACCATATCTGGACAGCCTCTATCACGGCAAAAGCCGCACTGGCAATCAGGCGGGTATTCTTCTCCAAAATTAGTTGTAGGAGGTCCGCTATTATCCTTGCCACCAACTTGCCAACCATGTCTAAAAGCTCAATTCCTTGCCATTTACCAGTTACCACGTTCACTAAGATCACACACACACACGTGCGTACGTGCACGTGCACCCACACAATTTGTGCCAAGACAACGTGTCAGCAGACAACAATGTGAATGGGCACCCTTAGCAAAGAGCGGTACATGTAGTGCTCTTTCACTTTATTGACCGTATTTTCCCGAATATAAGTCACACCCTTTCCCTACTACACTCTAAGAGCAAAGAAGGGGGGGGGGGGTGCGACTTACAGTTGAGTGTGACGTCCCACTCATGTGGATATGTTGAAACGATATGGCTTAAACCTGAAAATCGGGGTGTGACTTATAATTGGAGAAACACCGTATAGCGTACTCGCGCGATTAGTGCACTTGGGGCACTATTCTATTGTCCATCACAGATGGGGCACTATTCAAGAGAGGGCACTAGTTTTTCAATGCTGGTACATTTGTGTCATCCAGCATATAAACAAAGAAAAACAGAACCTAACGTTTACTGTAAACTATCACGACTCAACAGAAACGGCAACAAGAACTGCGATTTTGATCCTGAAACCACCAGTGCAATGGCATGGACAAGAACAATAGCAAAAGAACACCGAACCCGCACATGCCTTTGTTAAAGGGGGGGGGGGGGGCACTATTCAAGAGAGGGCTTTATTTTTTCGCTGGCTCTTACAGACTGGGGCACTATTCGAGATAGGGCACTATTCAAGAGAGGAGGGCTCTAATCGCGCGAGTGCGGTATCTGGTGCGGTAACGTAATGTTGAAGCTGTAAAGGTTCACTAACGTGGTGGTGTTGAGAGGCTGTGGGGCTGGTAAACCACCACTCTCAAATCCTGGTATTTTCCCACGACCGTGCTGCCGCTTATGAATTGTGTGTTGCTCCCTTCGTTGGAGCTCGCGCCTTTCCTGCCGACTTGAATCGACACTTGACTGGCTCACGGCTGCCATCCAGAGTACACGGGAAGTCCATCGAACCTTCCTCTCAGCAAATCTGCAAGAAAGCACCACTCCCTGCCTTTTAAATAAAGGGGAAGTTCACCCTAAAATGAAACTTCACAACCTGTAGCGAAAAATGCACTGATTCCAATGGTGAAGGTCCCAGGTTGATCGGAGCAGCCGTTCCCGAGTTATACCTGCTTGAAGTTTGCGCTAAATTTGGTGACATCATAATGACGTCATTAACTGGCCCAGACCAGGCCGGATTTATGACGTCAGAGAGACTTTCAAAGCACATACTGTATACCGGTAAGCAGAAATATTCGTCTGGAATTAATTAATTTCGTCTTTTTCGTCCAAGGAGCTTTTGGACTAAATTAAATGCCGGACGAATGTCGATTTGTCCAGCTTTTCAATACACTCTTCTGATCCATGGACGAAATGTACAGCCCGACGAACTCCCTTTCTTTGGAGTTGGACGAAATTATTGACCGACGAAATTTTCTGCCTGTACAGTATCTCTATGTATGTCGATACTAAAACCAGGCTTACCGTATTTCCGCGCATATAAAGCCATGGCGTTATAGGTGAAACATCGCTGTTTTGGACCAATTTTTTGGAGAAAATAGCCTCGGTTTTAACGCCATGGCGCTAAAAGTGAGAGACGCGTACATGCAAAAAACGGCAGAGTATGAACTTCGAGTACTCGTATGGTGCCGTTGCACTTTCATGTCGAGCATCCATGTACTTTCAATTTTCCCTGAAAATTTCAAATTGTGAACCTATTGTGTACAAGGTGGTATACAACCTTGTGTGAAGGTGTGGTGACGGTATGGCATGTGACAGTGGGGATGGGTACATGCAGGGAGAATCACCGCTGCTGTAGGTTCACTGAAAGAATTGAACTCACCTCGCCAGATGCTACTTCCTCCACATTGAATTTTGTTCACTTATAACGCCATGGCTTTATAAGTGAGGGTGGCCTTATACTTCAAAGTATGTATAATAAATGTAGAGCCGAAGGATTTATTGCAAATACATACCAGTATAAAAACCGAGGTCCGCCGAGGTTTTTTATAACTGGTATGTAATTGCAATAAATCCTGAGGCTACTACATTTATTATACATATGTTGACCTTCACTTTCCCTAAAAAGGAGTATTTTATAAACAGTATTTATTGGCCCTAGTGGTATTTTATAAACAGTATTTATTGGCTTTAGGGCCAATAAATACTGTTTATAAAATACCACTAAGGCCAATAAATACTGTTTATAAAATACTCCTTTTTAGGGAAAAGTGGAGTGCTACATGGAAAAGTGCAGTGGTATTTATTGAGTCAAAGCAAATTTATTTGAATTTGATACTGTTGATGGTGTGGTCACTAATGAGTGTGGGTATTTATCAAAGGTCAATATATTCGGATATAACGCCATGGCTTTATTATATGCGCGGAAATACGGTATGTGCTGACCGTGTATCTTAAAAATCAGGCTTGTATTCAAAACAGGCTTTTACATGTATACAATACACCACATACAGTATGTTAGCAGTTCGCATGCAAAACTGCCCAGCACCACTAGTAGCAGCGGCAGCTGATTTCACCGCTATCCTGTCACATGTCCCGGCGCAGCATTTAGCTTTGTGTTTGTGTGTGTGTGTGTACGTGTGTGCACGTGTATTGGCGTGTGTCTCGGCATGTGTTGTGTGGTACTGTCTATGCGCAGGCACGAAAACCGGATTGCTATGCTACGTCAGCTGCAGCCTACCATCCAACAGTGAAGCAGCACTGCTACAGTTTGCTGAGGGTCGCATCGTCGAGGAGATTGCGGTCAGCCCGGCAGCTTTCGGAATTGAAGCTCATTAGTTTGGCAGCATCATGCAGGAAGTTCTGCAACATCAGCTCCAGATAAGAGCTCTAGAAGGGTGTGATTTGACACGGCCGCAGAAGCACATGTGCCATTTCTAGCGGTCCTGCACTGTGGAGTGTACCGCACACCCATTGGTGGTGGTGGGGTTCCAGGAGCCAGCGTTACCGAGCCGAGCTGACCGGAGCCCTGCCTTTTATCACTGTCAGCAGCAGCCAGCACCAGTGCTTACTCACTACGTTTACCACATGGGAACGACTGTGAAAACAACGCTGCTACAACACAAGCCAGCATTTCACACGTCGTGCAAGGCGGGGCTGCTCGTCCGCTTCTGGATTTCATCCCAACAGACATTCTCATGGCCCACCTGGTGTGCATGGTGGATTCTGAATCGGGGGCGTAGTAGCTGCTGCATCAGTCACGGTGAATTAGCTCTGCTCTGATCCAGCTAGAAACGCAGCACCCACTAGCCACCCTTTCTTGATACTGATATTTGCATACGAATTTTCCCTTCCCTGATTTGAACACCAATTGACAGTCTGGATTGTGGTTATTTTCATTAAACTTCTCTTCGAAATTTAGTGAAATCCACAAGATCATTTAGCGTGTCTAAGAAAAAAGGTAACGAATTAGAGCATAAGCATTTCCTAATAAATAATTGATAGCGAAATACTAGAGGAATGAGAAACCGGTTGGTTTGGGGTTTAAGCGAAAAGAAAAAAATACGCCGAAGTCGCAACAACCTCTTGTTAAAAAAGGAAGCGGTTAAATTGAAATATTCCTCAAGAGCAAGATTCGGTACAATCACAAGCAGAAAGCTCAGAGGAAATATAGATACCGGTAATGGTCTCAAAGAGTAGCAGGTACTCGATCCAGAGGTACACGCACACACACGCACACAGCAAGTTCAGCGGCCATACCAACGTATAACCAACATGCTCACAGCTTCATTGGTGCGAAGTCATGAAGAGCAGGCCGGAGGCTACACACGATCACACATAGAAAAAGTTTGACAGACATTGCAACACAAACAAACTGCTAACCACAAACAGTAAACTTAGGGTGCGTTCTTAAATCCTCTCGGAAAAGTTTGAGACTCTCCGAAAAGTTCGAGAGCTGTTCTTATATCCTCTCCGACTTTTAGGAGGCTCTCCAAAGCTCTCCAAGCTCTCCAAGCTTCAGAGGTGGTTGAAACTTGGAGATTCCCGCGGTTTGGGATCAGCGCATGCGAACTACGACTAAAAGCCACGTGTTCATCATGAGTGTACGCATTTCCCTTTTCGCATACGCACATACATTCATCACTCAAGATCGCGGCCCCTTTGACGCTTCATTTTGCTTGACATGTGCAAAATATCTCCGAATTCTTCGAGACCCGTTCTTGAGTAATCCCAGTTTCTTCGACTTCTCTTTTCTTCTTCTTCTAGAAGCTAGAGAATATAAGAACGCACCCTAAGAGAACTACACCTAGAAAACTTCACGCGTTGCTGGCAAAAAAATATCAACATGCCAATGATGTTTGAAAAATTCGCGCTTGGAGCGTATCGTCGAAAGCCAAAAGCGGAAGCGCTTTTAAAGTACATGTTGTCCTGCCGACCGAACGGGGGCATTATTCGCGGCGAGTGATGTAGGCAGTCCATGTTTAGTAGCATCATTGACAAGTTCATTAAGCCACTTTGTGACCCCGAGTTTATTGAATAGGTGTTTGATGCCGTCCATGGTTTTCGGTGGCTGCATGTCTACAGCTAGGCGAATGTGACCCTGTACAGCAACACAATACCATCAAAAACACAGCAAAACACACTGTTGTCAATGCACAGCAAAACACTGATGTTAAAATGCACAGCAACACACTGTTGTCAATACAAGTACACAGCAACACCATACCATCAATACACAGCAACACCATGCCATCAATACACAGCAACACCATGCCATCAATACACAGCAACACCATACCATCAATACACAGCAACACCATGCCATCAATACACAGCAACACCATGCCATCAATACACAGCAACACCATGCCATCAATACACAGCAACACAATGCCATCAATGTACATCAATACAATGTCGTCGGTGCACAAAAAGAGCTGCAACTTTCCCATAGAGATGTTATGGCCGTGACAGAGAGTCTACGCATGCTGTAGTAGTACTACAATACCGGTAACCCTCTGAAGGATTCCACATACAGCACGAAGGGGTCGTTGGCTGTGAATAACTTCTTTTCAAAATAAAAATTTGTAATTTTGGGAGTTTCAAGCGTTGTTTACTTCATCATTGAGTTGAAGAATGGACATACTCTTTGAATCAACACACTCCATGTCATCACATACAACCAAGCCTAGGCGTTTGGCTTGTTTCCCTTGCGCACACAATACGCCTGACGACAGCATCAGACCATGTTAGACTAGGGTAAAACCAATACTGTAAACTGCCCAATGTTTGCGGTGTTTTAAAGTTGGCTAATTTTTTTTACGAGAAGAGCATATTTTTTAACCCTTTGAGGCCCATAGTACGAATATATCCGTACCAGTGTACAGTCCATACTTTTCAAAGCGCAACCTGGCGTAACTTGGCCATCCCTTGCCCAAATCGGACAATCGAAAGGTCTATCGACATTAGAATTGTCTCAGCTATCGGCTCGAAAACCCAAAGGCGATCCGAGGTTGGAGAGCGGAATTATGAGACTCGAACTAAATTCGCTCAGCAGAGTCAACTCGGGCGCGTGCATTTTTAACTCGTTTTTGGGGGCTTTCCCGGACTCGCGGCCCACGCAGCCACAGATAGTTCCCGTCATCACAAAGACATGTTTCTCAGCTGAAATGGCAAAGAATTTGAGTTGGGCGCTCGCAATGCTGGCTTTGGAGCGCCGAATCGCGGTGCGGCGCTGGTTCTGTGGATTCAATGATGGATTGCTGGCTATCGCTGTGTTCCACTGGCCAAGCGCTTTCCAGAAAGCCCAAGATGACCAAAATCGGCCAAAGGATACCAAAGTTACGACCAGGTAACTGTGGGTGTGTATGTGGGGCCAAAGTGCTCCGCGAACATTTGCCAAAAGTAAGTAGAGCAGAGGCAAAGTAACTCAATTCTGATTCCAATGTCCTTCTCAGCGCAAACAAAGCGGAGGCTGAAGATCACTTACCGGCGTAATTTTCAAATGGAACACGGGTGTGCCAAATGCGGCTGTTGGCAAAAGGATTCCCTCACGGCCAATCTCTGCAGACACGGACATAGCACAGAGAGAAGCTATGGTTACAGTGACTCTCTCTCTCTCACACACACACACCTTGACCTTGATCTTGTCCATTGCGTACGCAATGATAGCGAATGTCGGAAAGTTCAAGTGAGAACACAAGTGCAGAACTTGGCATGTCGTTTCAGGCACACACACACACACACACACACACACACACACACACACACACACACACACACACGCACACACACACACGTACACACCAGTGTATGTAAAGCCACTGGCTTCAGATTCTCCTTATTGATTCAAGAAAACTCCCAGGAAATCCAATGTGTGAGTGTGTAGACTGAGCACGAGAAGCTGGGGACGTGAAAAGAGAAAAGGGTCAAATCAGGAGAGAGTTCCAAAAGCGGATAAACTTACTTTCTAAATCGGGCATGTGCTGGAGAGCAGCACCGCGTAGCATTTCCCGTATCAGATTGGTCTGCCACAACACCAGCAGCACAGACAGTAGACAAGATCACATTGAAGAATACCAGTACAACAGCAACTGGAGACCAATCAGGCCAAAAGAGGACAACTGTTTAACATCACTAGCGGAAATGCAATGCCAAAGCCAAGGGAAATCTGAATAATACATAGCCTACTTTTAAAATTAACTTAAACTTCTTGCTTTTAGCAGCCTGCAGCTAATTCTGTTAGCAACTAATTTCAGTAGAGTCATCAAATCTAAGCCTATACCTGTGAACGAATACATACCTTGACAGGACCAATGGCGCTGCTGACTAATTCAACACTTTCCACACTGCAAAGTAAGCGAGAGATAGACACAGACCCATACGGACAAGGACAGAGAGAGAGAGAGAGAGAGAGAGAGAGAGAGAGAGAGAGAGAGAGAGAGAGAGAGAGAGAGAGAGAGAGAGAGAGAGAGAGAGAGAGAGAGAGAGAGAGACATAGACACACACACACACACACACACACACACACACACACAGTGAGAAAGAAGGGGGGGGGGGGGAGGGGGAGAGAGAGAGACAGAGATGAGAGAAGCAGTTCAAACTTCATGATGGAGGCATAGTCACCATGTCCATTGTCAGCGACTATCGATCTACTATGCCATGTATTAGTATGTGTATTCTGCCTTTGTTGGAAAGCTTGTCAACTGTAGTATGTATTCTGCCAAAGTGATCCATTGTACCACATAGTACACGTAGTGCCATCATCAATGATCACTTACTCGAGTGTAATATTGCCTGCAGTGAGCGACTGCACAGATCCGTTCACGGGCTTAGAGAGATTTACCAAGTTGACATCAGAACCAGCACGGAAAGTCTGCGTCAAGGAGAAACAGCACATGCCGGTGCATACGTGCCACACACCCACAGCCACAGCCACAGTCACACACAAGTATGCAGCCACCACCACCACCACCACCACCACCACATCACAATGACGCGCACACACACGCACTGCGATTATATGCAATCTTGAGAAGTAAGAACAATTACAACCATAGAAGACCCAATAGAAAGTCCGGAACACTTGTGTACCCAATCACATGTGAACATGTTCAACATACACACGAACATGCACACATGCATGGATGCATGCACGAATACGACCACCCACGCATGCACATACGAGCGTGCGCATGGACACACACACACACGCACACACACGTCTTGATCACAATTGCCTTTTTGGGCCAGGGCACATCCACCCAGGCATGGGCGGGAATGCTGACGGACAGTGGCAAAGAAGAACAAGAAAACCTGAGAGGCTTAGCATACACGCACACACACACACACGGGTGTGCACACATGGAGTACATACCACAAGCAGACTTGCAGCCACTATCTCTTTCTCGGAATGTGGTGAGGTTGCGATGACATCTATTTCACCAGTCAGAGAGAGGTCTAGGCGATCGTCGCCAAACGTGACACCACCCTTTGACAAGCTGACACTTGCAAGCAATTCACCAGTAAGCGCGTGCTTCTCAATCTAGGACACGCCGAGCAACAAAACAGCCACAATACAAGTCATGAACAGAACACAATGCAAGTCATGAACAGAACACAATGCAGGAATGTCGTGCACAGCCAACCACACATGCACATAAAGTTCATGAAATTCACAAAGTCGTAGACGGCACGGGGTGATGAGGCCCGAAAGCAACACAGCGCTCGCAGTCTGAGCACCTCGTGAAGCAAGGCAATGTTTGAACATGAGAACAGCAAACCTACCTCTGGAAAGACGATGGCTAACATAGAGTTGTTAGCAAAGACACCCTGAACATCAACAACAACACAGGCAACATTACAGCCTTGTAGTCCAGGCATTATCACTACAGGAAATAAGTGATGTGAGAGCAGCTAGATGCTGTGGGCAATGGCAAAGAGCTGATAGTTATACACAGCTCATACGACAAGTACAGCTGTTCTTCACACGATTTCTCCACGTTTCACGTGAAGCAAAACCTCTCTAATGCCTGGTGCACACTAGCCCGATCTTTCAGCCAATTATGGAATTGTACGAAAAATCCCCAAGATCGGCGCGAAAAATGCCTGGCGCGGACGGTGTTGTCGCAAAATGTGTGTGTGTATATGTGTAAAGGTAGTCCGACCCAGTCGGCCGATATAATGTCGGAGTCGGTGTTAGAGCATCGGCCGAAAAATTGGCCTGGTGTGGGCATGACAATACCATAGTGACATCCCTCACCATCACTTTTGTCCAAACATTTATTTAAAATTGATAAGAATGGTCCGTGTCCTCATACCTTGTACAAAACTTTTCAAATTGTGTCCAAAAGTGAATGACTAAAGGAACTTAGGCTGTGATTGTTTGTTGTTATGTTGATTTTTATTTTACTTCGCAAGGCCAAACGGGCAATGGTGCCCAATTCTATGGAAGCGTATTTCAAAGCGGGAGGGAGAGAAAGAGTAAGAAAGAAAGGGGGGGGGGGGGGGGTAGTCGGATCCAGATCCCGCAGATCCACTCGATTTCAAATGATCGATTGGTTGAATCCGGTTCCAAGGCCATTTGATTGGGATTTCAGCAACCCTACAGCGGAAGAAGGATTGACCGGATCCAATGGATTCTCTTTTGCCCAAACAAGAAGTTTGTACGTGTTTCGCGAGCAACACCCAGGGTTATAGGCATGTAGTACACGTGGACACACGTTACACCATGCAGAGAAAGTACGAACCCTGGAGCGACTTTTCGATTGGCGTTTTCTACGTCAACAAGGTGACGGTAGCTGGAAACAAACATGCTTGATCGATTCTGAGAGATTGAGATCCAACGAAACCATCACAGCCTTACTATGCAGACTGTGATCGTTTCGTTGGATCCGGATCCAGACCCACAGGATCCCTCAGAATCAACTGATCACATTTTTTTCTCGCACTGCTACCGTGAACTTGTAGACGTAGAAAAACGACAATCAAACGCCAGGGTTCATACTCATCGCAATCATCTACATGGTGCAACGTTTGTCCATGTGTAGCACGGTGTGTACTACATACATTATAACAGTGGTTGTTACCCGCCAAACCCGTACAAACGTCTGTTTTGGCAAAAAGAATCCGTTGGATCCAGTCAACCCTGCTTGCGGGGCAGGGTTGCTCGGATCCCAATCCGATGGACCCGGACACAGATTTAACCAATCAACCATTGCAAATTGAATGGATCCTCCGGATCTTGATTTGGAGCAGACGAAACGAGGCTTTCCACGAATCACCAAACCAAGATAACGAAAAATCATCTGGCGCATGCTCGTTTCGAACTCTCATGAAAGTGCGGAAAGGTCTCAAACTGGTATCCGTCCACAACCTTCATTGACAGGCCGGCCAGTCTTATGTACACAGAATGGCTGCCAAGAGTAGAAGTCAGCACATAGCAAACACAAGCATGCACTACTGGTAACGTGACAGTGGCTGCTGCTGTTGCTGCTGGCATTCAGTTCACATGACAGTTGCAAGAATTTCTCATAAGCAGAGAAAGAGAGAAAGAAAGAAAGAAAGAGAGAGAGAGAGAGAGAGAGAGTGTGTGTGTGTGTATGTGTGTGTGTGTGTGTGTGTGTGTGTGTGTGCGCGTGAAAGCAAGTATGTGCTGTGCATGCTTCCGGAACACTTACCGTTTCCAGTTTGTAGTGGAATTTGTCGTCCGGCTGGCTGAGGGCGAGGAGCAGAGACTCAGCCGTCGATATGGACACCACACCGGACATCATCTCCTCGTTGCACAGCGGCTTGACTACATTCAAGTTGCGCACTTTCCCATAGCTGATGTTGTTGTACGTGACGAGACCCTGCCAAGAGAGAAACCGCATAGAACACAGGTTAAAACGCGTGTGCATGTACATGAACAGCCAAGTTCGGCCATACCTGCACTCTAGCATACAAGCAAAACGTCCTTCATTTCCGATATGGACACATACCAGTAGTCTATAGCAGATGTTGGCATACTGTACACACTGTTCTGCAGTCATCAGGAGGTTGACCACTACTGTCCGTACATGAAGGGGTCTGTCCTATCCTGCATCATGTTACTGTATAGGTAGAAATATTCGTCTGGAATTTAATTTCGTCTTTTTCGTCCAAGGAGCTTTTGGACTAAATTAAATGCCGGACTAATGTAGATTTGTTCAACTTTTCAAGACACTATTATGATCCATGGACGAAATTTACAACCGGACAAACTCCCTTTCTTCGGAGTTAAACGAAATTATTGACCGACGAAATGATCAGCCTGCACAGTATCCTTTCACCCATTCACGACATAGTCCTTCCCCTGTCTGTCGCCATGTATAGACGGTACGTGACCTCGCACTACCCCCGTGCTACGCACGATACCATGCTCTGATGGGCATGGCCTCACTGACTCTTCACTATATCTACTCATCTGTCTGTGAAATAAACCACTTCCTTATGTCAGTTCATGACAACAGGTTCAGCCTAGGGGTATGGATATAGTAAACTTCAAATCCACACAAGCACAAGGACGTACGTTCATTAGGATATTACTGAAGCAGTTATCCGAAAACTGAACATCTGATGTCAAACCCAAGTTCAGTCCCAGGCCATCCTTGATGGGGAGAACTGAAACACACAGTGTGAAGATGAGGAGCATGTGCACACACACGCACACACACACACACATGTACACACACGTATACACACGTACACACACACATGTACACACACGTACACACACGTACACACACACACACGTACACACACATGTACACACACATGTACAGACACACACACAGACACACACGTACACACACATGTATACCCAGATACAAACAGGGTTGGTGGAGTGCTCAAACACAAATATGCACAGGACATACATGTACACACAAACACCGGAGGTGAAGGGCTGTTGAGCTGTTTCACACATTGGAGCAATCATCACACAGCTGTATTCACCCGAGAGTGCTGCTGTCCAGTGATGGTTCCAATGTGTAGGCGTGCTGTGCTGCTAAAGTCAAAATCAGCCGATTGCAGTTCAAAGAACAGACTCCACTAAACTCCAGCCATTAGATGTACCGTAAAGTACTGCGAGGGCGCCCCACCATCTTGTCCTTTCGTGGTCGTATTGCGGAGGTGGTCTCCTGTCTGTTCGTCATGATTGGGATTTCAGCAACCCTACCGCGGAAGAAGGGTTGACCGGATCCAGTGGATTCACTTTTTCCCAAACAAGAAGTATGTACGTGTTTCGCGAGCAACACCCATGGTTATAGGCATGTAGTACACAAACACACACACACACACACACACACACACGTGGACAAACGTTACACCATGCAGAGAAAGTACGTGCCCTGGAGCGACTTTTCGATTGTCGTTTTCTACGTCCACAAGGCGATGGTAGCAGGGAAACAAACATGCTTGATCGATTCTGAGAGGTTGAGATCCAACGAAGCGATCCCAGCCTTACAATGCAGGCTGTGATCGTTTTGTCTGATCCAGATCCAGATCCACAGGGTCCCTCAGAATCAATCGATTACAATTCTTCGCACTGCTACTGTCGTGAACTTGTAGACGTAGAAAAACGACACGAACCGTGTACACATATTGCACACTGTGCAGTCAATCCGTACTCAATTTACCTTCGAGCGGATACGAGCTCCACACAAAAAACTTCTAAATGTGATCTTGTACACCAAGGTTCTCACACCGTACAAACTTCGTTGCACTCTGCCATACGATTTTCCTTTCCGTGGCTGTACAATCAAGGTGGGGCGCTCTGGCGAGATGGGGCGCTCTGGCGGTACTTTATGGTAATAGTATGGCATTTTTGCAAAGCCAAACTTACGAGGCAGGTACGTGGCCATTTCCTCATTGGCACGAACAACGAAAGTCGGGAAAAGGCTCTTGAGCTGCAGAGAGCGGGGAAGAGGGAGGGAGGGAGGGAGGGAGAGAGAGAGAGAGAGGAGTAGCAAGAAGTGAGGACCAATCCAGGAATATTGACCGTTCAAAGGCCACACAAGACAAACAAGGCGGTGTGGTGTAAGAAGACTAAATACAAGGCCCCACACACACCAACATCCAATCAGGACATTTACCGCGAATTCCCACTCGATAACTCCGAAACTCCTTCAATTGGCACTCAATTGCATCTTTGGAATCCTTCAAATATACCCCATAGTGCAAGGTATCAACGAGAGCATTCAGTTGCAACAATGTTTCACGGATAGCTAATTGTTTAGAGAGCAGATGCGACAAGAGTTCAGTTTGGCAGAAGGCTTGAGATCAATCCTGGTGCTCTTCAGAAGCCATAATATGAGGCATCAGAAACTCGAACGAATGTTAGGAAGCAGCAAGGAGCAACAAAAATTGCACTTTACACGCTACTTGTTTCCCGGTATGTACACATCAACAATTGTCCTGCATTCGAACGTAACCATGCTTGCATAAAAGTAGCATTGAAGATAACCCATCAAAAGACATCACCATAATACGGTACCTAGAACTTACAATGCTCTCAATTTCCAACCGGATCTCATACTTCAACACAGGGGAGAGAAATTTCAGCAAGTCACTGGCCATGAAACAGCAAGGGAAACATTAGTCATCACATGCATGTACAAAGGCACATGCATGCACACACACACACACACACACACACACACACACACACACACACACACACACACACACACACACACACACACACACACACACACACACACACACACACACACACACACACACACACACACACACACACACACACACACACACACACACACATGCACACACACACATGCACACACACACACACATGCACACACACACAAATGCACACACACACACACATGCACACACACACACACATGCACACACACACACACATATGCACACACACACACACACAGACGTATGTTACGTGCCATTCCGGTACACTAGTTGCAAATAGCACAAACATACTGAAGCAGAAATCACGCGGGAACTGCACTACATGCTGCAAGAGTTGAATCTCTAACGGGGCACAAAGTCTGTTTTAACGAGAAAAAATCCATCGTTAACTCAAGAAACGTTACTAGTATGCTATTCCTTGTCTTCTCTGCACTAGAGGAATACAAGATGGGTGTGTAATGGCCGAGTCGTTAAACGTCGTGCCTGCTAATAAAATTTGAAAATCGACTTTTTAGACTCGTTGCACTTTCAACTCTTACAGTAACAGCACATCACTAGGAAGCCAGAAGGCAGATGTATTGTGATTTTTGAGCTACAGTGCTGACAGTGATGCATTGATACTGCAAAAAGTAAGTACTTGAGTCCCTTGCCCCAGTGTAGCCCAGTGCTGCAACTACAGCAAAACCTGTCAAGGTGACCACCTGTCCCAGAGGACCACTGAAACCAGGACCAAGGGATGTTATTTCCAGTCAAACGACCCTGGATACAGAGACCATCTGGTAACAGAAACCAGGTTTCGAAGTTCCCTTGAGAGGTCGGATTAGACAGGTTTCACTGTATGCGTTTCACAGCCCAGTACATCCCCACAGAGTTATACCAACATCAGGGTCACATGCAACCCTGTAGCAATCCTGAAGCTATCAAGAATCTGTAAACTGAAAGAGTGTGCAACTGCCTGTACTATCTCTGACCAGTGCAGCGACGACGGCAGAGCTTCACGTCACACGACATAATTATGGTTCAGTAGGTTACACTGGCAAACAGTACCGCATGATAACCAGCAAGTTGTGCCGAAAAGCAGGGTTGCGCACAATCCTGGACTATCATTTACAGGCTACAGTCACACTCACGATAAGCCATGCGCCTTTGCAAACGGGACAGCACATCTCTGTACATGTATGTCTATACAGTATCTGCAGGATACACACTCGTGATAAGTCACATAATTTCGTCCTCAAGACTTGAGTGCACAGCTTATCGAGAGTAAGACCGTACAGGGTGTCAGCAGTGTGTACAGGATCATCATGTGATGTGGAATTCTGTCAGCGTTGAAGATCCTACCGACTGCAGCTGCACACTCATTGTGTGCATATACTCTTGGTGACATGCTGCAAAAGACAAGTTCAGTAGGTCAGGCAATATACATACGGGTGCAAGACGTTCTTGAACTGGAAGTCAACACTTGAAACAGAAGACTTGTGGCTGATGAGAACAAGACGCCATTCACCCTCGGGACCTCGTGCTGCAAGGACCAGCAATAGCACAAACAACGATATAGACACAATTAGAGAGAGAGAGAGAGAGAGAGAGAGAGAGAGAGAGAGAGAGAGAGAGAGAGAGAGAGAGAGAGAGAGAGAGAGAGAGAGAGAGAGAGAGAGAGAGAGAGAGAGAGAGAGAGAGAGAGAGAGAGAGAGAGGAGGGAGGGAGGGAGGGAGGGAGAGGGGAGAGAGAGAGGGGGGGGGGGAGAGAGAGGGGGGGGGGGGAGAGGGGGGGGGGGGGAGAGAGAGAGAGAGAGAGAGAGAGAGAGAGAGAGAGAGAGAGAGAGGGGAGAGAGAGGGAGAAATGCACACATACACACATATACAGGGCCGTTCAATGAAATCCAGTCGAGTCACTCAAGTACGCGCTGGGCATTATGCAGACCTAGACCTGCGAACACTGGGCTGCGAAATGGTGCAAGGTGCAAACTTGACTCATGCGACTGGATTTCACTGAGCAGGACTGTGTGTGTGTGTGTGCGTGCCTAAAAAATAGAGAAAAAACTGCATACCGTATATTCTCTATTATAAGCACAGGTCTCCATTACTAGCACAGTCTCTAATACTAGCACACTGTGAGCACCTTTCGAAACATTATAAGCACTGTCTCTATTATTAGCACGGTCTTGGTGGAAATGATCAATGCTGCATGCATGATATCCAGCATGTATTTCTTCTTGCTCTGTATGGATGTATTGGTTGAAAAAATATAAGCACGGTCTCCAATATAAGCACGGGGTAGAGGGGTGTTTAAAAAAATATAAGCACGGCGTTTATAATAGAGAATATACGGTATGTTAGCAAACATATGTGTGTCTATCTGTGTCTGTGCATGTGAACTTCAAACCATCCACAGCCAGCTCCAGTGGTTGTCACCTTTCACCACTGCTGTCAGTCGCACTTTTAGATTTGCCCCATGATGCAGCCATGTACACTTTGCTTTGTGGGTATATAAACCAGTACTGATCCAGATTTACTCAGTACTGTTTTCTGATGATGGCTTAGTGCGTGAAACTCAGAGTTTTAAAACACTTTCTCTGTCCTCTTATTGTTTGTAGAATTCAGATCAAGTTGTGATATTAAATCTAGAGTCGCAAAGTGTCAACCTACCCAGGTTATTAGAAAAGGAAATGCTGACATCATTAATGGCGAAGTCAATCAGGCCATGGTCCTCCACATTCAAAAAACTGCACAGGAAGCACACACACACACACACAGAACAAATTGAAACTTTTGATTTGATACATACATGTAACGGAGAGAGAGAGAGAGAGAGAGAGAGAGAGAGAGAGAGAGAGAGAGAGAGAGAGAGAGAGAGAGAGAGAGAGAGAGAGAGAGAGAGAGAGAGAGAGAGGAGAGAGATTTCACAAAAACTTCACATGAAAGTACATATCGCATTTCATGCAATTAAGTTTCGCGTCCAAAGTTCGTGCAAGGTTTCTCATCTCATGACCTAGAGCGAAAGTTTGTATATTTTCGTTTCACAGAACCTCCGCCATATTGACTGGGTTAGAACCAAAGATGATGTAATGCTGATAATGTTGACTACCGTAATGTCGCGTATAAAAGAAGGTGCTTACGTCCATATAAGCCGGGGTTCAAACCATGCTTCTATTCAAGTTATGCTTCTGTTCAAAACATGCTTCTACGTCAACATCATCAGTCTACACTGTGCAGTGCATGCCGACACGCATGCACTGTGCACGTGTATTTTGCAGAGAGCGGCTTCTATTCAAACCATGCTTCTGTGTCACAGTGCGCTTTTAAAAACTAGCTTCTATTCGAGCCATGCTTTCATACGCGACACTACGGTACATATTGTGGGTCGCGTATGCCTCCCTCCATCAAGAGGAATCCTGTCGTATCTGGATAGATTCTGCTGCACAAGGGGCGTCCGGTAAAGACAGGTTTAACTGTATGCATAACAAAGATCATAAAAAACGCGTACTTACAATCTTTTATAAAGCGAATGAAAGTGAGTCGAGCCTCGTACGTCAACATTGATCTGCACTTCCACCGATGATGGGGAACTGTGCGGTTTGATGCTCAATGTGTGGATAACTAGTGGCTGCAATGTAGCGCTAGAAACAACAGCAGTAAGGACACAGGATACGTTAGTAGAGAACTATACATTCAAACTTGAACACACCCATTCATTGTTGAAAGGCTATATAGCCTAAAATGGTCAATGATGATTGCAAGCTCATCTATAACAATTAGCCAGACTTCTAAATCAACGTAAGATCTTGTGATGCCCCTAACAGCACTGTGCACAGGTCAGATTCTTTCAAGTCTTCGCTTACTTGATTATTTGCACTTCAAATCCAGACTTTTCCACAGGAATCACCGAAGGAATCTGCAAGCCTCTCATTGCGGCTCTCACAGCTTCGGGGATGAGTGTCTCGGCAGCTAAACACAGGAAAACCAGAGAACACAGGGCAAAGGATCTCACACGCCCGCATTGTCAACACATACACATGTCAACGCTGTAAACACATTCCAGTACATCACACAGGCTCGGGTTCCACAGAGTCAAGCTGCTTTTAAGAAAGAGACGGTAAACAGGACGGGAACAGAGTAAGCTGGGTGGCACTATCGCATGAAGTACCAATGAGGGGAACCCAGAACAAAGGCATATCAACCGGTACTTTATAGTACAGTCATGTTGCAATGCTCAACATTGCTTACATACACAGCGCAATCTCTCTTATCTGGACCTCCCATGTCCAGGCATCTCCCATCAACCGTGCATCCTGCGGGCAGGTGCATTTTGTCAAGTGTTGAAAAATGTCATAGTTTTCGTGGCGGCCAGCAGGGAGCAGTAAAATACCATTACTACTCCAGCCTACCGGTCAGTACTAATAGAGTAATAGAGAATAATAAAAGAGAACGGTTCACAATAATAGACAGGTTCCGCGGTGCGATGCGTGATGCTTGTGACAAGGAAATGCCGGTGTCGGGTACTGGCGCATGCCAGTTGCAAGGCCAACATTGCAGGCCGAAGTTCAACTTATGTGGCGTGAGATGTTGGTCAATCGAGTACTGTGGCTCATAAACCCAGAGATACTCTCGAAAGGCAACTAACTGTCTTGAACCATACTCAGATTTACTTCGATGACCATTCAGAAGAATACCATCACAAGCAGAACTCTGGAAAAAACAACAACTGTGCCTACGCTCCAATGAACTATATAGCAAGAGCGGCGGCCACACCTAACACCGTGCCTCTACACCAACACTCAGCACATACATGTAGATAAGAGCGCGTGATGACGAATACGGTGCTAAGTGTTAGCGTAGAAACAAGGCACTAGACGTGGCGCGTACAGGCAACGATTTAGCAGAGCGTGGAGAGGAAAACTGTTCAGCAACATTCAAAGAAGCAGAACGAGAACGAATAATACTTCAATTGAGGCTACCTCCGTAACAAGTACAGTGTTCTACGCTGGATACACCTTCATGTACACTGTGTAGCAGAAGACAACAAAGATCATGAATTGTGTGTAGCCGACGCAATGCAGTGCAGGTGTCTAAGTTGGTCTTCACATCGCAGAAAATGATTTAAGGATCTGACTTGACACTCAGCTCTTGCTGCATATGCTTGTGTGAATGGTATCAAGCACCAGTAGTAATAGGTCCCGTGAGCCTGAAGAGAACTAAAGAGAATGATGCGTCCTACAGTATCCAGTGTGCTTGTACTGTGTTGGATACTACTGTAGCGGGAATGGAAATCCAGTCGATTAACCGGGGCCGGCGCCCGCAGCGCGTACAGAACGCTGCGTGCAGTTTCACAGTCATGCTGATCCAATGCGACCAGCGCACTGCAGCGCATGACCAGCGCGCTGCAGCGCATGACCAGCGCGCTGCAGCGCATGACCAGCGCGCTGCAGCGCATGGCCAGCGCCCTGGGGCCGCTAGACGTGCGACCGGATTTCCATGTCCATGACAGTAGTATGTAGTGTATTTCCGAGGTACAGACAATTCTGAGAAGTATGCAACTACATGTACTTGGCCTTCGGTCTCCAGCCGCTCAAATAGGAGAGGTTCTACTTGACTGTGGTTGTACAGTACTGCATACCGGTACTATGTTTTTCGTTTTGACAGCATGTTACAAGGCGGGGACGCGTAGTGCTCCTGACTACAACCATAACCCGGTTGGCAGAGTCCTGGTCTTCAGGAGCACTACGCGTCCTCGCCTTGTAACATGCTGTCAAAATAGAAAAACATGTTAAACTGCCAAGCAAGGCTTCTGTGTATATACCATACCGGTACTAGTAATTATGTAAGTTGTACAATAATTATACTAGTACATATGTATACAGTACATGTAGTACACATAACAAGAACCTTTTTAGTAACTGATGCGTACGCATTCGTATCTCCAAGACACACAAAATAGCACAAGACTACTGGTGTTTACAAAGCTGCTTCAATAAAATAGGTGACAAGAGGCAACAGAGGGCGTCGGCTGACAAAAAAAGAAGTCCATCAACCGTCAGGAGTCACCTCGCCCGCATGCTTCCTTTGAAAACAACCGAAATGTTGAAAACAACCGAAATGTTGAAAACAAGAGTGGCAAAATTCACAGAACGAGAGAATATTTTGCGAGTTGT